ATACGGTGCGGCACTACACGTAACACCTCCTCTCCCCAGCCTTCTTCCTGTATTATTCAAAGCAAGTCCACTTGCAATTAGCTGGCCTAGATACGAAACGGTTGACAAATAAGTACAATGCCTCTTTGAAGATGGTCCAGTGAGTACCAGCTCGTCTTAAATGGCTGACATTAAAATTTACCAATCACTTTGGTCATTGTTATTACACTGTAAATCCGGTGAACACATGACGCGTTTATAATCTAAACACTGACAATATAAACACTTGGATGTTTGCGTTATAAACGCAAAGTGTTTATAGGCGTTTGTTTAAACACAAAATGCATAGCCTAAACAGTGTCTAGCAGTTAAACACTTTTCTAAACACTTTCTTGCTATACCACTGTCAATATGTCCAAATACTAAACATGTTTAGAGTGAGGAGGGATAGTGTTAACAATTGAACATTGATATTTAGGAATTGAACACACAATCTAAACACTATATTGGAAATTTAAATAGAGGGAACCGTGCCTGAGCAAGGGCGACCTCTTTAGTCCTTTCCGATATTATTATGTAGATGATGTATCTGATTTGCATGTTTCTATATAAGGCATTACTTTGTTGGTGACCTTTGTGCTTCCCGCGCAAGTCTTTAGGTCCATCTTTCACAATCTCATACTGATGTGCATGCACATGTGCTGTGCATGTACATGTGCAGTATATGTCATTACATGTACATACATGTACATCATGTGCATGTACATTTACGTCTGAATGTACATGTATGTGTTGCATATGACATTGTATTTGTACATGTTGCAAACATCCATGCAGGCCAACTTAGTGAAATCATGGTGATTTCAAAGAATTCGGTCATCTAATTTTTAATACAATTTGTGTTTGTTTTCAGTTTCAGGCTGACTGGCATGACTGGTGTGACCATATCTCCATCATAATTTTTCTCGCCTTATTTTCATGAAGACAAACTGTAGGTCTGGATACCCTGCTGGTATTGCTGCTTCAAGGTAAGCCATCGTCCATGGACAGCATGGACGTGATAGTCTTATCAATGTGGACAAATTCCAATCATAATGAAATTAATTTTGTACATTTACTTTGAAAATAAATATTTAAATGTACACACATGTTTACATATATACGCAGCCCCTAATTATGTACATGATGATATAGTAAGCTGGAGCAGTGTGTTGCATACCAATTAGTGTAGGAGCGGACTAGGGGCCCCAAATGGGAGAAAGTGGGTGTTGTGGGAGAGAGAGTCGCATCCCCCTCTTCCAGTCAATGAAGGAGATGATTGTGTATCATCAGTATAGCACTGATCATGAAATTAAAGGGGGTCAGACCCATCAGATTGCTTTTATGTCCGATTGTTGCGGACAAGCAGACATATACAAGATTATTATTAATATATTTTTTATAACTTGATATTTTTTTGTCAGAACAGGGAAGGGGGGTTCGACACCCGAAACCCCTCTTTGGATCCGCGCCTGTCCAGCTTTTTAATGCCAGGTATTCAACACATTTACGGGTTCCGAATTTATAAAACTAAACACTTTTATAAAAATCTAATAGACAAAACATTAGTGCTTTGCTTTACATATATTTATTATTTTTTTTTTTAAAGGAGCAAAACAAACATATTTGAACTGACAATGTCTTAAGTTACAATTATTCTAATAGATTGAAACTAATACACTCGAACTGTTGACGAACTATGCGTAAAGGCCGGTTAACATTCGGCACAAAAGCGGATGCAAAGGTGAACATGTGACATCACGGCAAGTATTCGTGCTGCGAATTCGAAACAAAATAGTGAATACATTTAAACTTGTAAATTCACTTGTTAGATTCACTTTGCATTTGCATTCGCGTGAAGAATGAACCGGCCTTCAATGTTGAACTTTGTCCCCGAACACAGTTTTTACATGTTCTTCTCTTTCTCAATTACTAAGGCATATAAAACAGAGCAACAATCACGAATTCAGGTGCATTGTTGTCGTCATTTCGACTGCGTTAGATATTAAATTTGTCACTTTAGTGTCGTGACATTTTTGTTGAATTCAAATAATGAAATATCATTCCAGATATTTAGTTTGCTTATCAGTACCATGGCATTGCATTCCCCAACTGTACGTATTCGAATCATACAGAGCTAAACAATTTCATAAAATTTAAGTATAACTGTACTTAAACTGTTTTCAAGAGAAAAAAAATAAATAAGGAGTAATATGATAACATCTGGACCGAAAGGTTTTAAAATACCCTCAAAAGATTAAGACAAACTTTCATACTAAAAAGGTGTTATGTACCTCTACGGAAATGAACATTTTTACCGAACACAATTTCAAAATGAGTACTTTTTTTTCTTGTCTTACACACTAAGCACACAACTAATGCGATGTTCAAACGCATTTGTTTTTGCGTAATTTTGAACGCGTAAAATAGTCCAATTTGTCATATTTAGTGCCACAATTATTAATATTAGTGCATTGAAATAATTATTGATATTAAAAGATGAAAATTGATTTGCTAACACTATCTATATACGTCACAAGTATTTACATTATATTTATGTGAACAAGGATTCTCTATATACATATTGTATTGAAATGTATGTCTAGGTCACAACTAAGGTCAACCGAAACTTATAATTTGATTTAAATTTACAGTCAACCTGAATCTGCACCCCGCACTGATGGCATCACACTTTGTTTACGTGTGCGCTTTTCTGTGGTTCTACGAAACCGTCATCCCAGGTTCCCATATGAAAGCACACATGTAAACAAAGTGCGACGTCATCAGTACATATAGGCTTACAGTTCTGGTGTTTTGGTTGTGCCGTTGTTTTTGTTTTTTGTTTTCCTGTTTTTTTTGTGTCTGTTTGTGTTTCTGTTTGTTTGCATTTATTGTTACCTTAGGCTACCATCTAGTTTCTTTTTTTTACATCAGCGAGGTCCAACGACAAGCGCTAATAATTAAGCTTAATACATCAAGAATGAAATTGAATTTCCAAACACAAGCTATTTTGAAGCCAACATGTTTCGAATGAATTCTTGAAAAAAACACCTGGGCTATGGCGTATCATATGGCTTATTTGGTAATAACTACATGTCTTTGTTTTATATATTTTACAAACATACTTGAACCGACAATCTATTGAAGTTACCATCATTCGAAATGATTGAAACTAACACACTTGAAGTGTTGACGAACCCTGCGTAAAGGCCGGTTAACACTCGCCACAGAAGCGAATGCGAACATGAAAATGTGACATCACGGCAAGTATTCGTGCTGCAAATATGAAAAAAATTGAACACATTAATCTTGCAAATTCACTTGATAAAATGCACTTTGCATTTGCATTCGCGTGAAGAATGAACCGGCCTTCAATGTTGAACTTTGTCCCCAAACACAGTTTTTACATGTTCTTCTCTTTCTCACTTACTAAGGCATATAAAACAAAACAACAATCACGAATTCAGGTGCATTGATGTCGTAATTTTGACTGAGTTAAATATTAAATTTGTCACTTCAGTGTCATGACATTTTGTTGCATTCAAATAATGAAATATTGTTCCAAATATTTATTTTACATATCAGTACCATCACATTCATTCCCCGACTTTACGAACTCCGATTATACAGAGCTAAACAATTTCATAAAAGTTGAAGTATAACTGTACTTAAACTGTTTTCAAGAACAAAAACGAAATCTGGAGTAATACGATAACAAATGAACCGAAAGGTTTTAAAATACCCCCAAAAGATTGAGACAAACTCTCATACTAAAAAGGTATTATGTACCTCTACGGAAATTTTCACCGAACACAGTTTAAAAATTAGTATCTTTTTTCTTTACTTACACACTAAGCAAACAACCGATTCAATGTTCGAACGCATTTGTTTTGCGTAATTTTGAACGCGTTAAATAGTCAAATCTGTTATAATAAGTGCCACAATTATCAATATTGGTGCATTAAAATAATTAATGATAATAAAAGATGGAATTGATTTGCTAACACTGTGTTTATACAGTACAAGTATTTACAATAAATTTATGTGAACAAGGATTCTCTATATACATATTGTATTGGAATGTATGTCTAGGTCAAAACTAAGGTCAACCGAAACTTGTAATTTGATTTAAATTTACAGTCAACCTGAATCTGCATCCGTACTGATGGCATCACACTTTGTTTACGTGTGCGCTTTTCTGTGGTTCTACGAAACCGTCATTCCTACCAGGTTCCCATATGAAAGCACACATGTAAACAGAGTTCGACGTCATCAGTACATATAGGCTTATTGTTCAGGTGTTTTGGTTGTGTCCTTGTTTTTGTTTATTTTTTTTCCTGTTTTTCATTTGTTTGTTTGTGTTTCTGTTTGTTTGCTTTTACTGTTATCTACTTTCTAGCTTTTTTTTTTACAGCAGCGAGGTAAACTCTAATTAAGCTTATTATATCAAAAATGAAATTGAATTTCTAAACACGCGCTATTTTTAAGCCAACATGTTTCGAAAGTATTCTTGGGAAAAAAGTCAACCACCTTTTCTATGGCATATCATATGGCTTATTTGGTCATAATTACCTGTATGCGGTATGGTTTATTGAATCGATTTCAAACGGTTATTATTTGTTACCAAATAATTGCAACCCGGACTCCAAATCTTGTGCATATTGTTCAGTGGTTACATATTTCACAGTATGTTCATTAGTATGACTGTCACGACCTTATTGCATTATCCTCTTTGAATATCACCAAAAAATGTCATAGTTCTATCGCACTCATGTTGCCATAGACCTTATGCCTTCCAGCTACCTCAGATGTGTTCTTTGTTGTTTTAATCTAGTAACACTAATACACAATCGTATATTCATGCCTGTCCAAGCGGTACCAAACCATTGCCCTCTGGTTCTGCCTTAATGCGTTAGGTTAAATGTATATCGTAATGCAATCTTGCAAAAACGAATGTTCAAAATACCACTGATTCAGCCTAATTAATCAAGGCGACACCCAAGCAACTCCAGTTGCAGACGAACCCGAGTATGCCATTCGGTAGGCTCAATGCGCACTACAGTCGCCACCACACTCTCATCAAACAGGTTAGTGACCGGGGTGTCGTGATCAGTGTTACCCTTGAACACCTGCAACAGAAGCATACGAATACAGGTTTTATCTTTATAACTGTGAAAATATTGGAAGAAGGGAGACACTTTCTTGCAGATTAGTTGGAAACAAATCCTTCATAATGTTATCAGATACTCGCTTATTTTCATGCTTTCAACTACATGTACCAGTATCAATATCATTTCAAATAATGTGCAATAGTAATTTTTATTTTCACTCTCAGAGTTGGCTGGTATAGAGGCAGCGTTGGTTGGTCGTGGGAGAGGTCTTTTTGACTAACTTTTTTACTAAAGTGGTGTCTCTCTCGTCTGATTGAAGTTGTTTTGGCTAGTTTATTTTGAAAGTGTTCCTTTGGGATGCAGTTTATCAGTATTAACTATTTTAACTAAGTGATCTTGACACTTGTGCGGACTGGTGTGCTCCGTCCCGGCTTAATTGTCCATGGAACTATTCCATTCATGGGATGATTGGGTCGGGATGGAGTGCAGTGAGTTTGCGCGGGTGTCGAGACAGCGCTGGTTCGCCTGCGCTTTGGTGCATTTTAGTCTTTTACTTTTCTTAAATGTTTTAAATATATATTGAATGTTATCTCTTCATGTTTTTTTTTTAAATATTGTAATAATTGTTGCAATTCAGTTTTTTGCTGTGATGACAATTTTTAATAAACCTTTTATGAATGAATGAATGAATGAATGTACGTACTTTGTTGGCGAGGATCACTGACAGACCATTTCTCGGCGGAAGGTAGCCAGGAATTTGTCTGCACTCACCCAGCCGCCACAATACAAAACAGAGGCAAGGGGGCTGCATACAACGTATGGCTGTTCTCAATTAGGTGCTATTTACGTGGGTGCTCTTCAAAGCGAGCAATTTTTAATTTCATTTTATTGGTAATATTGGATAAAAGAGGGTGATGGGGTAATTCCACTCGTAGCGGTTGACCGGTACGTGGATGCTTTGATTTGATAATACAAAAAGGTGGGCTAAAAAGAAAGAAAATTGTGATCAATGTACCTTGGCGTTTCCGTTTGCATCTGTCACATATGTCGAATTGGATGTGGACTGATTCCCAAAGGCCACTTTGTACTTCGTTACATATCCAGGATACCTGCTGTTTGTCAGGCTTTTTGTTATGACGCCAGACACCACAGTACTGGTGGCCAGGTCCACCTCGATCCAGGAACCTTCATTGCTATGTACACAGAGTGGATGGAGGTGGGGAACAATGAAATAAACATGCTCCGCAAAAAAACACCCGCTTTTATCATGAGAGGGATTGACAAAAGCTGAACGCGAATAAACTATTGAAGCCTTTTCATAACTTGTAATCTGAATGTGTCAACAATTTTTATATTAATGTTACTAGTGGAGTTCATTTAAGCTTTATCAGTATTATTTTGACTTTCATTCGAAAAAAAAATATTCTTTCCAATTGAAATCTTTCTACAAATGCAGAACATACTCCATTTTGAATGAGACATTGAACAAAAATATCGGCCTTCTTTTATTTAAGGAATAATTACGAAATAAATGTCCAATTAATTGCTGCCCGAAAATAATGAAGTTGTCTCAGGGTAAACTGGTTTCCGCCCCTCCTATTAGATTCGATAGTGTAGGGACCGGGAAACCGGACTTGCAGGGCAACCTTTAAAAACAGTAATTGAGGGGGTTGCAAACATATTAAATAAACAAAAAGTAGTTGATTTCGTTAAATAAACTACTTTGTCGGCTAGGACCAAAATAAAATCAGATTGAATGAAATGTCTTCCGTCTTTGTAAGGTCAAATATGGATGTAAGTGTTGTGTGTAATTTGTGGTAGCTAACGATGGTTTCCTTTGATACCTACCTTGATGGTTTCCATACACCGCCACTGTTCAGCCGTCCCTTCTGGGGTGTGCAACATGAAGCATCAATAAAGCTGGACGCCGTGATGTGATCATCAGGGATTGTCCCGTCCTTCATACCAAGAGGCTCTGAACACTCAGCTGTTGCTGCAAGGAGAGAAAATAAACCATATCGATGTATATATGTCAACTTTCACTCCCTCTTTTTTGAGGAAGGGGGCTCCGAAACTGGTAATATGTATCCATCTAACCCGGATGACCCGTGCAAGTGCAAAATATTCTCTGCTGATTTGGGCATCAGTATTTAATATAGACGCATTCATAGACTGAAATTCACTGAATCTAATAAGCAAAGCACTGGAGGGGGGTCTATGTGAGCCTCACTTTTGGCTGGGGACGGAGACTCTCAAAAGGCCGTAGGATAGTCTTGGTCCAATACTGGATTTGGATTTTGTTATCCTACAGCAAGTAGCATTCTGTTATTTACCAAAAAGTAAATTTCTGTCCTAAATTGTGTTTAATCAACTCCTACTGGTCGATGAAATAGATTTCATCATTTTTGTCTGATTCATGACTCTAGAGGATTTTATTTTATTAAGCGAAGAAAGCTCCGAGAACCGTTCCGGTAAGCTAATCGAGAGTTCAACGTCATTAAAGTGATAAGAAACAAAAGCAACACAAAACGTCATTAAAGAGATAATAAACAAAAGCAACACAAAACCAAATATTTCCCTCTTATTACTACATTGTAAAGAAAAATGTATATTTTACGGCGAAAGTTGCGAAAATATTCATTGTGAGTAACCATAAATGAAGTACGTGTTTCATTTTACCAACAAACCCGTAACTTACAGTTCACTTCAGGGTTGCTCGCGCATCGCCGATAAGTGGCTTTTTTCTGCATGTTTTAATTGTAATTGTAATTTTATTTTGTATCTGGCTAGTTTATGTTAAAATATTGTTAGTTGTCGTGTAGAAGATGTGAAGAGTGAATTTGTATGGCGTTTACGTGCAGGCTCACACAACAAACAGAGAGCATGTGTGCATACATGCAAGTGCGCATGTGTATGTATGACATACCAAGGTGTATAAAATAAACGGGATTGTGGACCAGGCCCAAAGGCTTCAATGACGGATGTGTTTAAAGTAATCTACAGGCATTGGAGAAGATACAAATGATTGGCAAAACTGTTCCAAATAAAGGTTTGATTAGTAAAAATAAATCGAGTATCATTCGTTTTTCTGAAAATACAATGCACGTGAAAGGAAGCAGTAATTGCAGACCTTTTATAGGAAGCAAAATCGGTTTATCCATAAAACAAAGTACGGTTCAACCGTTAAAAAAAGGTAGACAGGTGAAACTTCGCTGCACGACTTTTGACCGTATATTGTACGGGCAATTTTTTTACAGTGTAGTTTGAAATGAAGCAGTAGTTAGAGCCGGAAGTATTACCTGTATTAACTGTAGTCGGGCTACTGGCAGTAGTTGTACCACTAGCAGTAGTCGTACCACTAGCAGTAGTCGTACCACTAGCTGCAGTAGTCGTTCCACTAGCAGTAGTCGTTCCACTAGCAGTGGTCGTTCCACTAGCAGTAGTCGCTTCACCAGCAGTAGTCGCTCCACCAACAGTAGTCGCTTCACCAACAATAGTCGCTCCAACAGCAGAAGTTGCTCCACCAGCAGAAGTCGTTCCACTAGCTGTAGTCGTTCGACTGCACTTGAAGTAAGCTTGAATTTCGTCGGAGTCCTCACTCAGGAAAAGCTCCTTAAGGTAGTGGGGCGCACCCTGGCGGTATGACGAAGCGGGCATTTGCATCCCACCGAGACGTATAGCTGTGCATTCGCATGGGTCTTTGTACGGCAGGAACCAACGGGGTGGGATACCAGCTTGGGGGTTGTACTCCGATCCAATGAAGCAGACTTTGTGGCATGAGGCCAACACTACAGTTTTCGTAAACATGCAAGCAAAAAAGAAAAAGAAAAAAAATATGTCAATGTTTAGGTTAGTTTTGTGGTGCAATATTGATTAGCATTTACCTTTGGTGACCAAGGTTCGGATACCAATGGGCACATATTGTGGATTTGATAATGTCCGTTACTCCGTTTTTCGGTTTTCCTTCGAAATTCCTCTTTAGGCTTTTAAACTTAGTGAATGTCGCTGATGCGTCAGAACTTTTAGTTTTTCATATCATCGTTACTGACAGTTTTCCTCATAAAAGAACTATCTAATATCAGAACAATCCCATCTTGACTGTATTTGAAGCGTACTCACTGAATAATTCGAATTCAGATGTAAAATATAAAGACCCCGCCCCCCCCCCCCCCCCACCCCACCAAGTCGTAAAAATTATTTATGCCTGCCCAGTGATAACCAAAATGCCAAAAGTTTGAAGTATGAGTCCAATGACACAAGAAATGAATGTAACAAACATTCAAATGCAAACCACGGAAACAGTTTTCTCACATACAAAATAGGGTGGATAGTTAAAGCGCCCTCTCGCGATAAATCTATCGCAACCATTATCATTCAGTTCGGTCATGAACAAATTACTTGGCTACGACTAGCAATAACACACAGTCTATGGGAAGTGGCTGCAGCCGCTTCCGTAGGCGCATGTGTAATTTCTTGTCGTAGCCAAGTAATTGCAACGCAGCCTTATTGCAAAGTGGTGAAAAGGATTATACCGCCACCCAGTGATAACAATGCAAGGTGCTCAAGTTTAAACGATAAGTCAAATGACACCAACAATCGAACATAACAAATATTTGAATTCAGACAAAGTTGGATTTGTGAAGCGCCCTCTCGCAGTAAATCTAACGGAACAAAAATTCTATATAAAAAAATGTCCATAGTGGTGAAAAGGATTCATACCGCCCCCTAGTGACGAAGTATCAAAAGTTTGAATGATGAGTTTCATTCTAAAGAATTCAATTGTTGGAATGCAAAAAAAATGGAAACAATGTTTACCATACAAAACAAAGTTGAGGGGTCCAGCGCCCTCTCGCGGTAAATCCAACGTAACACAATTATCGTTATTTCCGAAGTGGTGAAAAAGGATTCTTACCGCCCTTCTAGTGGTAACCAATTGGTGCCGAAAATTTGAAAGATGAGCATCTTTAATATTGGAAAGCAAAATATGGAAACTTTTTCCCCCTATACAAAGCAGAGTGGATGGGTAAAGCGCCCTCTAGCGATAAATCTAAAGCATCACAATATCAATATATTTGTTACTTGTTACTTTGACACAAACAATTGCGTGATGAGTTCCCAATACACCGTTTGGTGAATTCAAATAAATTAACTCTGATTACTCAGAAAGAAAGAGTCCTGTACAGGTTTATGAATTATCTGTAACATTCTTGAGCTGCTGTCATTGCAATCAACCAGAACCGTTGGTCAGCCCAATTTGAATGGGGGTGGGAGTATGACAACAATTTGCCACTAGGACATCCCTGCTGGGAAGGTAGACTTTCTCCGATCACCGGGCTGCCGCAAAAACATTTTAAAAATGGAAGAGTGACACCGACCTTTGTTTCGGGTTGAAGGGTGGGGGATGGGTTGTTCAAAAATCTGTAATACTTTAGGACATCAGGTGACGTTATTCATGGCGGCATCATTTACCGAGTGACACACGATGTGGTCGACAGAACGAGGATTTTACCGACAACAAATTTTAATTGCCATACCCGTCACACCACCTCAACCTCCCTCCATCAACGCCCGTGCTGTTCTGTATTTTAATTTGGTGGCTGATCGACCGACAGAGGCTCTAAATGCCGACTGGATAATTATTGAGGTGGAGGTTTCACTCAGCACCAGCCCCTCCCAGTTCCCTACTTTTATACACGGCCCTGATAAATCAAAACAGTATGCAATTGGTCGGGTTGGCGTTATAACACGGCACAAAAAAACACCGGTCACTGCCTACAATGTGCATCCTCGAAACACATACCACTTCATCTCTAGCTCTCCGACTATGAAAAATATAATATCTTTTCGGAGGAAGAAATTTGCATTTCGTCTTACAAGCAATGATGTTTACTTAATGTTTTACACAATTTTGTGTCCACTGTGTTTTTTTCTTCAAACTGCATGGTGGTGCAGGCTGAATCCTTAGATGGGCAGGTCGAGTGCAGTCTGTCATTTTGGATAAGTTAAAAGAAAACAACAGGGATTGAAAAAAAAAACGAATTCATTTGTAATTGCCAGGAAATACTTGGAAGTTTTTCAACACTGCGAATGGTCTTTGTCCAAATTCACCAAAGTGGCGTTTGGATGCTACGTGTTATTTCTGGTTATCAAAATAAACTTCTTCGCAGATCAAACTTCCACCTACCTGTCAGTGCTGATGCCATCAGAATCCAAGCTACTACTCGGGAAACATATACCTCCAAAAAACAAGACTTGCTAAACATATACATCCGAAAAACAAGATTCACCAAACATATTCATCCGAAAAACAAGATTCCCCAAACATATACATCCGAAAAACAAGATTCGCCAAAGTGGCGTTTGGATGCTACGTGTTATTTCTGGTTATCAAAATAAATTTCTTTACAGATCAAACTTCCACCTACCTGTCAGTGCTGATGCCATCAGAATCCAAGCTACTGCTCCGTCCATTGTCACAAATGCAATGATCCAGAATCCGTCAGGTTGATGGTATATCAACGGGCACACAAAACCACCCCAGCTCGCCCCGGCAGCTTCGCTTCGCAGACTGCTAAACAGCATGACGTCATAACCAGCTAGCCAATCAGGAAAGAGCACGAACTAGATCAATCACATTCTTTTCTCTCATTGGTACACGTTAACAAGATGGGCGGGGCTTAAGTGGGAGCTGGTAATATTGCAATCAATTGCTTTATTCGACAGTTTTATTTATCAATTTTGAACACCGGAGTACCTGTGTGAGATATTAATGTGAATGCGACATGTTGACGACACAATATAGTATTAGAGTGGCCATTACACCCTTTGTGACACTCACAGTGCGTGTTTCAATAGCCTAGATTTTCTTCCACGACTTTTTTTTCGGGATTTTAGGTACAATTCGGAAATTATCCTTGATTAGACATTTGAATAAAATACAAGTGTATCGAGGAGAAGGTTGAGTGGGTTTAAATTGTAAAATCACCTATATAACGACAAGTACCAACAGTGGCCAATTCTTGCCAGCATGCGGGGAACCAACGGCTTAGAAAAGGGGGTGGGGGAAGACGACACCTTACTAAAGGGGCGCTTTTCATACTTGCATGTCTGCATGTACACGTTTTACGTCTATTCCTCACATTGTTGAATCAACGGACAATGGGTGTTAAAAGAGCAATACCTTTCACCGGTAATACTGGGATGGTATAATTTTGTGAAGATACTTTTAATTTTGTTACAATAATATGCTCTGGGACCAAGTATTGAGAGGGATTAGGGGAGTCACCGCGTTCTCGTCCCTAACCAAAATATTGCTGGGGAATGGGGAGGACACGCCTCCCCTATCCCGTGAGCCAGGAATTTCAGAAATTACCGGCAGTATAAATATCGAGAAGGGGAGGGGATGGTTTGGTAAAGGGTGAGATAAATTTAATTAGATAATATTGTTTGCGACCATCTTGTGTTTTAATTATCGTATTAAGCCTGCTACTCTCGCGACGCTCATCCTTACGAGTCACTATATCATCTGGATAAATAAGAAAAGTACGAAGAAAAACAGCTTCAATAACAAAAAAAAAACACTGGGGAAAAAAGGACATCCCAACCCCCGCAAAAAATAACCGCCTCGTGGGTGGATCATGTGCGATAATATATATGTCGTGTTAACTCTGATGACATGTACCATTAATAATTCGGTATTTACAGGGAAACACACAAAGGAACTGAGCCATCTACTACCTGTTTTGTGCCTTGTGTCTGTTAATCGGTTTTTTAATGGGAAGAAATGAATTTTGCGCCATATTCATCTCTCCGTAACTGTGTAATTCACTGAAGCGCAGTTCTGAGAGAAATAAATGATTGAAGAGCTTCTCTGTGTTTTTATGATTATTATTATTCGTTCACGTTGACAGAGAAAGCCTGGCCCTTGTCGCATCTCTTAAGTATAGTACATGGACTTATACTATCATGCAGGTTCATGCCAATAAACTCGTCTTGCATGTCGGTCATATAACACGCACTGATCAATTCGGTCACGAGTGGCTACTGGTCAAACACGTAATGGTCCAGTCCCGGCCATGTTACCGATAACTTCAGTCAAAGTTAAGGTTGACGATTACTTAGGATGGATAATCTCCTTTTGCTGTATTCCATTGTTTATTCAAGCAATTATCTTTAAATTAATTCAATAAAAGGTTTTGCCCTTCACCAACGTATAAAACGTTGTATACTCAGTGTGTTACATCCCTAGTGAAAGTGAGACAAATCACTCCTAATACAGACAAGTCATGATCTCTGCTCCCGATCGTCCCCCGTGCTATACAGGCATGGGTGTCTCCATCACATATTCTGGAGGGAGGGGGAGGGCTGAGCACACTCAAGTACCACGATAAACCTCCAGCAGTAAAAATATCGAGGAGGACAGAGATGGGGGATGACGTTAGGGTTGAGGTGTCTATGGGGTAATTGGCATTTTTTGCTTGGGCTCCGTGTTCAAAATCTACATGAGGATATTTATGTGACCGCGTTTTAAGCCTCTTTTCAACAGTTTGAATTGCTAAACATGTATTTAATTGATAAGATGATATTGTTTTCAACAATTTTCTTTTGGTAATATTACTCTTTCCTGGATTTTGTTTATCCCCTCTTTCTCCCCCTCTGGCGATGCCCACACCAATGAGTATTTGGTTCATAGGAGGAGAAAGAAGAACCCCCCCCCCCCCCAAAAAAAAATATGGTCGGTGGTGAACCATGCATGATAATATCTACGTCGTTTTATCTCGTATGTATCATTAATAATACGGTATTTGTTGGAATTCACACAAAGAAACCGAACCATTAACTACCCGTTTTCTGCCTCGTGTCTGCTAATTGTCTTTTTAATGGATAGAAATGGCTTTTACTACGTTTATCATTCCACAATTGTGTAATTCACTGAAGCGCAGTGTCGAGAGAAATGCATAATTGAAGTGCTTCTCGTTTCCCCCTTTTTTGTTATTCGTTCACGCTGGAAGAGTACGCATAACCCTCGTCGCATCTCTTAAGTACAGAGCACGGAGTTATAAACATAGCCATCTGCATGTTCATGTGAATAAAGATGTCTTCCATGCCGATCATTTAATACGCTTTGACCAATTAGATCACAGATTTTGGTCAGGTGGCCACTGGAGCTAGTTCTAAACTCGCTGGCAACCAAGGAGAGAACTATATACCAATCACACGTTGGCGGGGCTAAATACAAAATGGTACAGTGCCGGTGTGGACGGTAATTCTGTCCCCCGGTAAAAGTGTCCGGGGGACAGAATTACCTAGGTAAAAGTGTCCCCCCTGTCCCGTAAAGTCTGTCCCCCTCCAGGTAATTCTGTCCCCTCCAGTTAATTCTGTCCCCCTGGTTTTGCACGCATAAGTTGTTTTATTGATGTTATTATAATCAATTCAGCGCACAGGGTATACATTTTTAGATTTTTCCACCCTTCATCAATGATTATCAAAATGAAATTAACGTTTAGATGTTAATCAACCGATCTATGTTTCTGCAAGAAAGCAGCAAAGGCACGCGTAGTAATACTCAACCTATCGCTAGCGCGCATGCCCTCCGTAGGTGCGGTTCACTCGCGCGCTCGCCCACCATGCAAATCGCTCGCTCCCGAAGTCGTCATCAAAACGGGATTTGTGCTTTGACGTGACGTAAGCACCATTCCCGAATTTAACAAGGCGCCGCGCAAAAACAAGTAATAACTTTACTAATTTACTAATATACAGTCTGGGTGCTAGACTTGTGACGTTGCACGGGGACACGTTTACCAGGAGGGACACATTTAACGTCGTGCAGGGGGACAGATTTACCTAGAGGGGGACAGGTTTACCTAGGTAAAAGTGTCCCCCCGGACAGATTTACCGGGTCACGACCCGGTAAATCTGTCCGGGGGGACACATTTACCAGGGGGGACAGAATTACCTGCCACACCGGCCATGTTACTGGTAACATTCAGTCAACGTCAAATTAAATTAAAGATTACTTAAGATGCATATTATTCTGTTTCTGTATTACATTGTTCATTCTAGCACTTTTTTTCATATAGCCTAGAGAACGGCGCTCGACGTCGTTTTGTTTGTGCCAAGCAAAATTGGTAGTCGGGGAGTGACCCCATGTGCAGCCGCGTTTCGAAATTTAGAGTTTCGCGATCAATATAGTTTGAATTTGGTTGGTGTTGCGTACCAAACACATACCTCAGTGACATTTTGTTTTTTGAGAACGAGGGATTTCTTTTACAGTCAAAAGCACCAAGTGAAAAAGACTCCTAACATGGAGAGTAGACATTTGAAGTTGAGTGAGCCCCCTTTTCGGATTTAATCGAAACCTCCGCACTTCTGCAATATAAGACAGACAATAAACGGGATATTGAAAGCAAACTTTTCAAATTGAGAGATGTTCTACCGTCGCACACCTTTTTTCTTCTTGTTAACGCTTAAACAGTGTATGGTTTACATGTAGTAGCAACTAAAAGTCGTTTTCCCCTGATGCAGGCCAAGCGTAGAATGCTACCATTATGATTGATAATTCAGTAACAGCGGGGAAAGACACAAAAGAGCACAACCATTAACTGCCTGCCACCTGCCTCGTCGTTTCGACTAAATTGCCAAATTAATTTCCCAAGCATGACTAGAGATGAATTCAGTTTTCATCTATATATCAATTTTTCATAGCGTCCTCCATCCACAGAAGCGCCGTTGCCGATACAAAGGATGGTTGAGCACACGCAATGCGCGTAATACTCATCGTTGTGTCTCCGTTTATAGTACATACCAGGGACAATTCAGAAGCAATAATTCGGGGGCCAAGAAAACTGTTGCACGTTCAAGATTTCCCGTTGCATTCACAAAATGCGAAGGTGGTTGGTTGGTGGGGGAGGGGAGAAGGAAGAGGGAAGGGGGGGGGGGCTCGAATTCATTTAAACTTTGACGTCCGTTTAGTTTCTGTCTAAGTCCTATTAATTCGTGCTTTCATGTCAGAGGCAGAATTCTTTGAATACCTGCATTGGCCCAACAATTAAATGTTAAGTAAAGGATAATGCCCGAGGAATTTGCGAAACCGCAATTCGCAGCTGTCTCCACAGACAAGGATGGTGGGAAGTTTCACGCTATGCTGAAGATGTCTCCAAGGCAAATGAGGGCGGGCTTAAACATCGCAAAATTAATCCCAAAGTTGTGGACGCTCACGAAAACAAAGCCCATCCGTCCCGCTGCATTGTGAGACTGTATGAAAATTACCTACAGCATTGTCCAGCCCAACGAGCAACAGACGCCTTCTACCTTAGACCTTCAGGGGCGGATCCGGCAATTTCGCGGGGGGGGGGGTTCATCAGCAAACAAAATTATAAAATGTAGACAGGTTTTCTTCTCCGGACACCTGGCCTCCGTAAAATCAAGAACTGGGGGCGAGGGGGTGGGTGGGGTTGGGGATGGGAGGGCTGGTACTATATTTCAATAGGGGTTGCTGCTCAAATTCGACGATTATTAACACTCGATTACAGAATTGTGTACAAATACCCCGTATCTAAGCTGCCTCTGTCCGTATTTGGAACAGGCGGACATTAAACCCGTATATTTTTTTTTTGGGGGGGGGGGGGGGGTTCAGAGCAGGGGGGGGGGTAAAATTAGTGTTTAGGAATTTCTATGCAAAACAAATTTGACAGAGCTTGGGGGAGTTGACGGCCCCGCCCCGGAACCGCGCCTGACCTCTGGCTAACCCTAAAGGCAAAGTGTGGTACACAGCACAGCAACAGCTCCGAGCAAGTGCAGCAACTCCAATGTAAGCCTACGACAACGAGGTTGATGAGCAATTAATTTGCAGTAAGAGGATACAAACGTACCAGTGACGCACTCAAATGCAAGGTAAACCCACAGAGGAGGAGACAGGAAAGAAAAGGTCCATCTCATCGATCTCATCGACTGGGACTACAACGATGCATCGTAATGATCGCGACAGGAAGATAACACTGACTCTGAATTTAAACCTCTAAATCAATTGAGGTTTTGCCCTTCACCGACGTTTTTAAACACTGTTTACTCAGAGTGTTACCTCCCGAGTGAAAGTTGGAAAAAATCACTCGGGTGGGACCCGAACCCACGACCTCCTGCTTCCCAGTGCAGATGTTCCACCACTCGACCCCCGAGCTAACGGGAGTCGGTTGGCCGGTTCGAATCTGATGTACATAGTAGCGGGTACCGCACAAACTATTATAAGATGGAATTTTGCGTCGGGGTGATATAAATCAAATTAGGTTTTGCACTTCACCGACGTTTTTAAGCACTGTATACTCAGTGTGTTACCTCGCGAGAGAAATTTGGGGGAAAAAGTGATTTTTTTTCCAACTTTCACTCGGGAGGTAACACACTGAGTATACAGTGTTTAAAAGCGTCGGTGAAGGGCAAAACCTAATTTGATTTATATCACCCCGACGCAAAATTCCATCTTATAATTAAACCTCTAAGACCTGCTGTTTACATGTATATAATGTACTGCATATTTTGTGACAACATTGTAAAACATAAAATGAAAGTGTTTAAGAAATATAGCATGTGTTGTTTTAAATCTGCCTCAAAATCACTGTTAAAAATCCACAAGAGCTTGTAAATAAAAAAGAAATGCGACTTGTGAGGTTTGTTTAGGTTTAATGAAATGGCATGTTTACAAACAAAATGTTCTTACATTTTGAAGGGCCAGTATTTGTACATGTATTTTAAAACGCGTTAAGAAAGATTCTTATTTGAAGGAAGTACGCCAAGAAAAACAACCGTATCCCCAAAAAAGGGAGAAATTAATGGAGCCGTTATAAAATAAAATTTGCAAATTTTGTTGCTCGAAGATTAAGCAGTTATTCAAGTGTTTCTGTTTCCTCAGCTCGTTTTCCGCTTCATTATTTTGTACGAATGGAGAGGTGGAGGTGTTACCTTCCCAAAATAATGGAGAGGTGATGTCTCCACTGCTCCATTCCTGCAAAATAATGAAGCGCTGAAACAATCGCATGACGTCACAGGTGGACGTTAACAACGATGAGATTTACGTCCTAATTGGATTCGGGAGCCTGTCTAGGAATTCGCCATTTACATGTATTAATTCTAACATCTCTCCCCTAAATATATATTTTTTTTATACGGCCACATCATCCTGACGTTACTTTAATGCTCATCTATAACAAGTCCCTCTCTATGCACATACCAAGTTTCAAGCCCATCGGACTGGTACTTCAGAAGATAAACGGCTTAAACATCGCAATTAATGTTACGTTACAAGGCGTTTGCTTGTGGTGTAAATCGAGGACACACACGTGCAACATCATCGGTGAATCGACGACAGGAACCAAATCGAGGATGACCTCGATTAGAAAACGTGTACAAAACCAATGAGAGCTGTTTCGAAAAAGTTAGTGTACAAACAAAGGAAAAGGGAAGAGGAACACAAGAAAATGCTCGATGTTCACCATAAACAACGTGGGAGCACATGATGATGTTATCATTACGTAAGTGTTCGGTAATCATGTTCCGGTGGTAGTATATGTGTATGAAAAAATTAAAGTCCATCGGATTTGTGAAAGTGTAAAAAGTTGTTTGTAGTAACAACGTGTATGAAATCTATGGAGAAAGGAGGGGGAACACTAGACAATTTCGGCTCGTTGCCGGAGCAGCTAACTTATTACTCTGCGCATTGAAATAATGACGCTATAGTTGGGGCCGAATACTATGATTTTGATCTGCTCCATTTTGAGCAATATCTCAGGAAACCGTGAGCAGCGCATGAAAGCGGATAATGCATGAACCAATGAGAAATCCTGACTGATTGTGCCGTTTTCGATTTAACAAAATATCGTCTCAAAAAGCAACAAGAAATCCAAGTTGTAAAAAGCCAGAAATCGATATGTAAATGTGAGGCACCGGATGGGAGCTGAAGCTTCTTCCGGTAATAAACAACCCGTAAAGCAATCAAGGTTTGTCTAGATATGACTATCCCATAAACACTAGAAGCAATGAATCTATAGAAAACGATATGCAGCGAGTTACAATCCGCACAAAATTAATATTGCAGATTGCAATTTGATTTTACGTTAAAGAACTGTTCGTACCAATGAGCGAACAATTTGTCAGGCTTTACTACTCCAGCAAAAGGGCGGATGGGGGGAGATGGGGGCTAACATCCCCCCATCCCAGAAAAAAAATAACTAAATGGATATATTAAACGAAACCAATTTTTTTTTTGTTAAGTGACGTCGCAATGAAGGCAGGCTCTGCGTCCATTATCTTTTTTAAAAAACAATTGATTATAGTGGTCAGAAATTGCCTCAGATCCCACCACAGAGCATCTAGAATGCCCCCCCCCCAAAAAAAAAAAAATCGGGGCCCTTGGGTGGGCCCAGAACCCCACGCTGTAATTTGTTTTGACCGATTTGTTTTGGCCCCCGAAAAAAAATTTGTTCTGGATACGCCCTTGCCCCAGCAGGGGCAGACAAAGGACTTTTGGTAAGGGGGGTCAGACCCATTAGATTGCTTTTATGTCCGATTGTTGCGGACAGACAGACATATAGATGATTATTTTTAATATAATTTTATATTTGTGTGTGTGTCAAAACAGGGAAGGGGGGTTCGACCCCCAAAACCCCTCTTTGGATCCGCGCCTGTCACGGTACAGCTTCTCAATGCCAGGTATTCAACACATTTACGTGTTCCGAATTTATAAAGCTAAACACTTTTATAAAAGTCTCATAGACAAAACATTAGTGTCTTTGCTTTAATTATTTATTTACAGGCCAAAACAAACATATTTGAACCCACAATGTCTTAGAGTTACCATCATTCTAATAGATTGATACTAACACACTCCAACTGTTGACGAACCCTGCGTAAAGACCGGTTAACACTCGGCACAAAAGCGAATTTATAAAGCTAAACACTTTTATTAAAATCTAATAGACAAAACATTAGTGCTTTGCTTTGTATACATAGATTTATTTTTTGAAATTAGCAAAACAAACATATTTGAACCGACAATGTCTGAGAGTTACCATCATTGTAATAGATTGAAACTAACACACTTGAACTGTTGACGAACCCTGCGTAAAGGCCGGTTCATACTCGGTACAAAAGCGAATGCGAACGTGGAAATGTGACATCACGGTAAGTATTCGTGCTGCGAATTCAAAAAAGTGAACACATTTAAACTTGCAAATTCACTTGATCAAATTTTCTTTGCATTTTCATTCGCGTAAAGAGTGAACCCGCCTTCAATATTGCATTTTTTCCCCGAACAAAGTGTTTACATGTTTTTCTCTTTTTCAATTACTAAGGCATATTATACAAAACAACAATCACGAATTCAGGTGCATTGATATCGTAATTTTGATTGCGTTAGATATTAAATTTGTCACTTTAGTGTCCTGATATTTTTGTTGAATTCAAATAATGAAATATCATTCCAGATATTTAGTTTGCTTATCAGTACCATGACATTGCATTCCCCGACTTTACGAATTTGGATTATACAGATATGAACAATTTCATAAAATTTAAGTATAACTGTACTTAACTGTTTTCAAGAACAAAAACGAAATAAGGAGTAATACGATAACATTTGAACCGAAAGGTTTTAAAATACCCCCAAAGGACTAACTCTCATACTAAAAAGGTGTTATGTACCTCTACGGAAATGAACATTTTCACCGAACACAATTTCAAAATGAGTACTTTTTTTCTTTTCTTACACACTAAGCACACAACTAATGCGATGTTCGAACGCATTTGTTTTGCGTAATTTTGAACGCGTAAAATAGTCCAATTTGTCATATTTAGTGCCACAATTATTAATATTAGTGCATTGAAATAATTAATGATATTAAAGATTAAATTTGATTCGCTTACACTATCTATATACGTCACAAGTATTTACATTATATTTATGTGAACAAAGATTCTCTATATACAAATTGTATTGAAATGCATGTCTAGGTCACAAATAAGGTAAACCGAAACTTATAATTTGATTTAAATTTCCAGTCAACCCGAATCTGCATCTGTACTGATGGCATATCACACTTTGTTTACGTGTGTGCTTTTTTCTGTGCTTCTCAGAACCCGTCATCCCAACCAGGTTCCCATATGAAAGCACACATGTAAACAAAGTGCGACGTCATCAGTACATATAGACTTACTGTTCAGGTGTTTTGGTTGTGCCGTTGTTTTTGTGTGTTTGTTTTTTCCTGTTTTTTTATGTGTTTGTTTTCTGTTTCTTTTTGTTTGCATTTATTGTTACCTTAGGCTACTTTCTTGATTTGTTTTTTTACATCAGCGAGGTTCAACGACAAAGGCTCATACTTAATAAGCTTAATACATCAAGAATGAAATTGATCTTCAAAACAAACGCTCTTTTGAAGCCAACATGTTTCGAAAGAATTCTAAAAAGAAAAACCCACCTGGGCTATGGTGTATCATATGGCTTATTTGGTAATAATTACATGTCTTTGTTTTATATATATATATTTTGAAATAATGAATTAAATGAGCAAAAAAAAACATACTTGAACCGACAATCTATTGGAGTTACCATCATTCGAAATGATTGAAACTAACACACTCGAAGTGTTGACGAGCCCTGCGTAAAGGCCGGTTAACACTCGCCACAAAAGCGAATGCGAACGTGAAAATGTGACATCACGGCAAGTATTCGTGCTGCGAATATGAAACAAATTGAACACATTAATCTTACAAATTTACTTATTAAAATTCTATTTTCATTTGCATTCGCGTGAAGAATGAATCGGCCTTCAATGTTGAACTTTGTCCCCGAATTAAGTTTTTACATGTTCTTCTCTTTCTCAATTACTAAGGCATACAAAACAGAGCAACAATCACGAATTCAGGTGCATTGTTGTCGTAATTTTGACTGCGTTAGATGTTACATTTGTCACTTAAGTGTCGTGACATTTTGGTTGAATTCAAATAATGAAATATTGTTCCAAATATTTATTTTGCTTATCAGTACTATGGCATTGCATTCTTTGACTTTACGAATTCTGATTATACAGAGCTAAACAATTTCATAAAAGAGTTAGTATAACTGTACTTAAACTTTCACCGAGAAAAAAACGACATGAGGAGTAATACCAAAACATTTGAGCTGAAAGGTTTTTAAAAAAATACACCCAAAAGGTTGAGACAAATTCTCATACTAAAATGGTATTATGTACCTCTACGGAAACTAACATTTTCACCAAATACAATTTTAAATTTTTTCTTTTCTTATATACTAAGTACACAACCAATGCAATGCTCAAGTGCATTTGTTTTGGAATTTTAAACGCGTTAAATAGTTAAATTTGTCATATTTAGTGCCAGAATTATTAATATTAGTGCATTGAAATAATTAACGATATGAAAAGATGAATTTTGATTTGCTAACACTATCTTTATACGTAACAAGTGTTTACATTAGATTTATGTGAACAAAGATTCTCTACATATGAAAGCACACATGTAAACAAAGTGCGACGTCATCAGTACATATAGGCTTACTGTTCAGGTGTTTTGGTTGTGTCCTTGTTTTTGTTTATGTTTGTCCTGTTTTCCATTTGTTTGTTTGTGTTTCTGTTTGTTTGCTTTTACTGTTATCTACTTTCTAGCTTTTTTTTACAGCGGCGAGGTTCAACGACAAACTCTTATTAAGCTTAATACATCAAAAATGAAATTGAATTTCAAAACACACGCTATTTTTAAGCCAAAAGTGCTCGAAAGAATTCTTGGGAAAAAGTCATCCACCTATGCTATTGCATATCATATGGCTTATTTGGTCATAATTACATGTATGCGGTATGGTTTATTGAATTGATTTCAAACGGTTAACATTTGTTACCATATAATTGCAACCCGGACTCCGAATCTTGTGCATAATATTCAGTGGTTACATATTTCACAGTATGTTCATTAGTATGACTGTCACGACCTTATTGAATTATCCTCTTTGAATAACACCCAAAAAGGTCATAGTTCTATCGCACTCATGTTGCCATAGACCTAAAGCCCCTGTCACACTTTTGCGTTTCCCAATTCCTTATGAGTTCCTTATCAACAATTTTCAATACGCAGCCGTACGATCAAAAACGTCGAAATTGTTTGATTACTTTGACATATGTGCGACGCACATCTAGCGAACAAGTAACGAATTCAGCGCATCCACTGCGTATGAGATGCGTATGAGTTGCGTATGCAGTGCGCAAGTTCGCCATCTGTGCGTTTCTCATAAGTACAATGCGCTGCCCGCTCGCAGGACGAGCGGTACTAATTCGTGCAATACGTCGCTATGTATACGTCCAATATAGGAGGTCAGCGTATTGCCGCGTATGAACGGCTTATCCCTCACGAACACATAGCGTACTCGTACCGCGCTCGACCGATGCAGGACCGATGCGCTGCGTATTTATAACTTATGACCTGCGTAACAGCGTACGCAGCGTAGTTTTGTGCATGCCCAAAACTATCCAGCGTACTGGGCCGTACCATGCGTATGCCTGCGTACATAAAACTTACATAAAACGATAGAGATGCATATGAGGTGCGTATTGTGCGTACGACTGCGTGTGAAATAAAGTCAATGCGCAACTCATAAGGAATTAGGATACGCAGAAGTGTGACAGGGCCCTTATGCATTCCAGCTACCTCAGACGTGTTCTTTGTTGTTTTAATCTAGTAACACTTATACACAATGGTATACTCCTGCCCGTCCAATCGGTACCAAACCATTGCCGTCTGGCTCTGCCTTAATGGGTTAGGTCAAATGTATATCGTAATGCAATCTTGCCAAAACGAATGTTTAAAATACCACTGATTCAGCCTAATTAATCAAGGCGCGGCGACACCCAAGCAACTCCAGTTGCAGACGAACCCGATTATGCCATTCGGTAGGCTCAATGCGCACTACGGTCGCCTCTACACTCTCATCAAACAGGTTAGTGACCGGGGTGTCGTGATCAGTGTTACCCATGAACTCCTGCAACGAAAGCATATAAACACCGGTTTTATCTCTTAATAAGTGAGAAAATATTGAACGAAAAAAAACACGTTCTTCGAGGTTAGTTTGATACAAATCCCAAATGATTTTTTTTCAGTAGCGTACGTATCAGGTTTTCTTCGTCTGGGGGATCACGGACATACCATTTCACGGTGGAAGGTAGCTATAAATGTTTCTCCGCTCATCCGGCCGCCGCTATATAAAACCAAGTGAAGGAGCTGTAAGCAACCTAACTATTAATGTTGGCGCTCTTCAAACCGAACAGTTGTCGATTTATTTTCATTGGTAATAAAAGAGGCATAGAGTAATGTCATTCTTAGCGGTTGAAAGGTACGCATGCAGATGCTCTGAATTTTAAAAATCAAAAAGGCAACATGTCACGTAGGCAAGGGGAGGGGGAAAGGAGAAAGTTTGATTGTTACCTTGACTTCTCCGCTTCCATCTGTCACGTGTTGATATTCATGTGTGGGCTGATTCTTATACGCCACCTTGTACTTCTTTACGTATCCATAGTACTGCGTGCTATAATACTGGCTTTTTGTGGTGACGCCAGACACCACAGTACTGGTAGCCAGGTCCACCTCGATCCAGGAACCGTCATTGCTGTGTACACAGAGTGGATGGAGGTGGGGAACAATGAAATAAACATGCTCCGCAAAACAAACATCCGTTTTTATCAGGAGAAGGATTGGCAAAACTGAACGCGATTAAAGTTCTGAAGCCTTTTCAAGACTTTAAATATGAATGTGTCATCACTTTTTTATATCAATGTTACAGGAGTTCATTCAAGGTTTACTATTCAATACCAGTTTGACTTTTATCCGAAAAAGAAGAGTTTTTACATGTGCTATCTTTCTACCATTACAAAACGTACTCCATTTTGAATGAGACATTGAACAAAAATATCGGCCTTCTTTTATTTAAGGAATAATTACGAAATAAAATATCCAATAAATTGCTGCCCGAAAATATTTATGTTGTCTCAGGGTACACTGGTTTCCGCCTCTCCTACCAGATTCGATAGTGTCGGGACTGGGAAACCGGACTTGCCTAACAACCTTTTTAAAAAAAAACCCAGTAATTGAATGGGTTGCAGACATATTAAGTAAACAAAAAGTAGTTTATTTCGTTAATAAACTACTTTGCCGGCTAGGACCAAAATAAAATCAGATTGAATGAAATGCCTTCCGTCTTTGTATAAGGTCTTTATCATGTAAGTGTTTGATGTAGTTTGTGGTAGTTAACGATGGTTTCCTTTGATACCTACCTCGATGGTTTCCATACACTGTCACTGTTCAGCCGTCCCTTTTGGGGTGTGCAACAGTCAGGATAGTTGGTGGACTCCCAAACGCTGGACGCCGTGATACGATCATCAGGGATTGTCCCGTCCTCCATACCAAGAGGCTCTGAACACTCTGCTTTTGCTGCCAAGCAAGAATACAAACCATATCGTTGTTTAAATATCAAATCGCACACCCCCCCCTTCCCCTTCACATTTTGTTTAATATTTTTGTTGGGGGAGGATCGGAAACTAACACTATGTGGTCAGCTAACCCAGATTGACCCGTGCGTGTGTAAATGATATTGACGTCGGCTGATTCGGTCATTAGTATATGGACACATTCCTAGACTGAAATGAATTCAATTTTAATTAGCAAAGCACGGGAATAGATCCTGGGGATCTTTGTGCGCCTTCACTTTTCGGATGGGGACGGAGACTCTCCAACGGCCGTAGGGTAGTCTTGGTCCAAGACTGGTTTTGGATTCTGTTTCCCTACAGCCGGTTGCATTTTCCCCTTGCAGGCTTTTAAAGTCATTTACATTGTTACGCATACATGAACAATATCACGTGATTGAATAAGTATGTCATGTGATATGATTTTTTTTTTTCAATCCACGGGAAAAAGCGCGGCATCATTTTGTCCCGATGCGTTAGGTCACGTTGCCAAAATGCTGCAGGTTGCGGGTTCGACAACCGGGCTTTTTCGTTTCAGTTATTTCCCCAGAAGTAGCATTTCTTTCTTAAATTGTGTTTAATCCACTCCCACTGATCGGTGAAATAGATTTCATCATTTTCGTCTGAATCATGGCTCTGGGGATTTAATTTTATTAACCGAAGTAATCTCCGAGAACCATTCCGTTCCATTGAGTTAATCACTAGTTGAACGACACTAAAATGATCAGAAATAGAAGCAACAAAAACCAAATGTTTTCCTGTTATTACTTCATTGTAAAAAAAATTATATTTTGCAGTGAAAGTTGTGTAAATGTTCACTGTGAATGAACGTAAATGAATTACGCGTTATATTTTACCAACAAACCCGTAACTCCCAGTTCACTTTGGGATTGCAAGACAGAAGAGATTCTCACCGATAAACGGGCTTAATTTTCTACATGATTTAATTGTTATTGTAATCTTAATGTGTGATTACAATATAATGAAATACACAGATTGTCAGTTGCCGGGTAGAAGATAGTTCGAAGAGCGATGTAAAGATTGAGTTCGTTCGGCGTGTCTGATGACATAGCAAACTGTTACGCCATGTGGTCCAGGCCCACAGGCTTGAAGACGGATGTGTTTAAAGTAATCTAGGGGCATTGTGGAAGACAAAAAAAAGATTGGCAAAACTGTTCAAAATAAAGAGTCGATACAGTAATGAACAATACGGCTACCATTGACGTTTTTGTTTTTTTGGTCTAAAGAATAAGTTGAAAAGAATAAGCATTTGCAGACTTGTTACAGAAGAAAATACGATTTACCCTTAAAACAAAGAACGACTCAACGGCATAATATGCGGTAGATGGGTGGCACTTCGCTGCATGCCTTTCGACAGTAAATTGTACGGGCATTTTTTACAGTGTAGTTTGAAATGGAGCAGTTATTAGAGTCGGAAGCATTACCTGTACTAACTGCAGTCGTTTGACTAACTGTAGTCGGGCGACTAGCAGTAGTCGTACCACTAGCAGTAGTCGTACCACTAGCAGTACCACTAGCAGTAGTCGTACCACTAGCAGTAGTCGCTCCACCAGCAGCAGTTCCTTCCCCTAGCAGCAGTCGTTCCACTAGTAGCAGTCGTTCCACTAGCAGTAGTCGCTCCACCAGCAGGAGTCGCTCCACCAGCAGAAGTCGGTCCACCAGCAGTTGTCGGTCCACTAGCAGTACCACTAGCAGTAGTCGGTCCACTAGCAGTTGTCGGTCCACTAGCAGTTGTCGGTCCACTAGAAGTTGTCGGTCCACTAGCAGCAGTCGTTCCACTAGCAGTAGTTGCTCCACCAGCAGGAGTCGCTCCACCAGCAGAAGTCGGTCCACCAGCAGTTGTCGGTCCACCAGCAGTAGTCGGTCCACTAGCAGTTGTCGGTCCACTAGCAGTTGTCGGTCCACTAGCAGTTGTCGGTCCACTAGCAGTAGTCGCTCCACCAGCAGTAGTCGCTCCACCAGCAGGAGTCGCTTCACCAGCAGAAGTCGTTCCACTAGCAGTAGTCGTTCGACTGCACTTGAAGTAAGCTTGAATTTTGTCGGAGTCCTCACTTAGGAAAAGCTCCTTCAGGTAGTGGGGCGCCCCCTTGCGGTATGACGAAGCGGGCATTTGCATCCCACCGAGACGTATAGCTGTGCATTCGCATGGATCGTTGTACGGCAGGAACCAACGGGGTGGGATACCAGCTTGGGGGTTGTACTCCGATCCAATGAAGCAGACTTTGTGGCATGAGGCCAACACTACAGTTTTCGTAAACATGCACAGAAATAAAGAGAAAAAAAATGTAGTCCATGTTAGTTTTGTAGTGCAATGTTGATGAGCATGTACCATTGGAGACCAAGGTTCGAACACCGATGGGCAAAATGCCGCAAAATCGTATAAAAATTGAGGAATGACACGGATTTTTGGGGGTGTGGGGGTTGAGAGCACTTCAAAGATATTTGAAACTCTAGACAACAGGTGGCGCTATTCATGGCGGCATAATTTACCGAGTGACACACGATGTGGTCGACAGAAAGAGGATTGTACCGACAACAAATATTAACTGCAATACCCGCCACACCACATCAACTTCCCTCCATCAACGCCTGTGCTGTTGTGTATTGTTATTTGGTAATCGATTGACCGACAGAGGCTCTTATTAGTGTCAACTGATTAATAATTGGGGTGGGTTTTTTACTCAGCACCACCTCCCCCCCCCCCCCCGGCTCGCTACATACTGCCCTGATCAATCAAAAACAATATACGCAATTGGTCTGACTGCTGTTGCGATATAACACCGCACATGAAATGCACCAGTCACTTCCTACTGCATGCGTCCTCGAAACACAAAAATCACCATCACTTCATTTTTTTTTCGGAAGAAAACTGTATTTCGTCTTACAAACAATGAACTCAATAATATATTTTGCAGAAAAAAAAAGTTACCCCTGTGTTTTTGTCACAGGTTGAGTCCTTAGATCTAGTGCAATCTGTTATTTCAGATTATGGGGATTAAAGGAAACAAATAATAATTGCCGGGAAATACTTCGAAGTCTTTCAACACTGCAAATCGACTTTGTCCCGATTCACCAAAGTGGCGTTAGGGTGCTGCATGTTTTTCAGTTTATCATCGTTATACCATACGGAAGAATGGGTGTACATGGATGTGTGTGCCAGTTCGTAAACACAGGCCTGGTAGATCTTATTGTTGACAATCATTTGTCCATGCACAACAGTAAGAAACATTTGCTACCTGTTGATTCTTGAATGCTGAACATTAAAAAGAAAACTTGTATTCATGCGGATTCAAGCATTTGCTTTTCCGTAATGCTTTTACTCCAAAGTAAATGCTTTTACTTTTTGCTGAAACTTCCTAGCAGGGCCTAGTATTATTCATGCGTACTAATTACTCATAAAGACACGTCAACATACACAGGTTTTGCGCTTGGTGGTCTAGCTGTTATAAATATTGTAAAATGATGTGGCTGAATTTAGCTTTTTTCCAAATTTAACATGAAACTTGATAATGCCAGCCTACCTGCCACTGCTGATGTCATCAGAATCCAAGCTACTGCTCCGTCCATTCTCCCTGTTGCAATGATCGAGAATCTGTCAGTTGCATCGTATAACACAAGCCGCACCTATTCTTTTTTTCGGCAGCTCCGCAAACCACCAAGTAGGATGACATCATCACACTAACGAAATATCTTGCCAATAAGTAGAAATCCTGAGTTTAAATTGAAGGTAGGTACGTTTTCATTGGATCAAATCTACAGTGTGGGCGCAGCTTATACATGAAACGGGTAACGCATCAGCCAATGAGAACTCTTTGTTGATTGCGCAGTTTTCGAGGTAACAAAATATCGTCTCTAAATTGAACAATAAACCCCCACAAGCAGCCGTAAACAGACAGAAATCGATATGAAGCGGCATGACTCCGCGCGAACTGACACTTCTTCCGGTAATAAACACGGAACCCCAGCGGCAATCAAGGTTGGTCTAGAATATGGAAACCTCCGTAAACACTAGAAACAATGGATCTTTAGAAAACGATCTACAGCGAGATACAATTGGCGCAATATTGCAGATATTGCAATTACAATTTGCGAAATCATAATTTAGTCAGAAATTGATGAAATGGCGCGGCACCGCATGCAAACTGAAGCTTCTAAGTGTAATAAAAACAGACTCCCAGCAGCAATCAAGTTGGTCTAGATACGTAAACCTCCATAAACACTGGAAACAATGGATCTTTAGAAAACGATCTGAAACGAGTTACAATTCGCAAAAATATTGCAGATATTGCAATTTTGATTTTACACTTAAGAACTGCTCGTACCAAGCAGCAAACGATTGGTGAGGCTTTGCTATCTGATAGAGATAGCAAATAGGCGAAGGAACAATTTGTTATGGATTAGTAACTTGCAAATGTATTTGCTGACAGAAAATGATATACATGTAGTTCGAGCAGGGTAAACTGTGAAACTGATAATGAGGGATTGGGAGCAAGTCTACTCACAAGGATGATGTCTTTGTGCTAAAAAGCAACACCAAATACCGGTTTTTTTCCCCTGAACTCTGCAGACGCTCAGAAAAAGTGGACATCTTCAAAATCAAATTTCTCCTCTGGTCAAAATTTATGAGGAGCAACAAAATCGAAATTGTTGCACTGACAGTCATCTTTAAGACCAGAGACGTTGAAAACATTTGACAAAAAATTACAATTGCACAAAGGGAGGTGTGTTTGACGTGAACAAACACATCTGTTTCGGCTGTTAATTAAATGATTTTATTTTCGTTTATTTATTACCATTCTCAAGGAATTGGCCGACCTTCCAGGCAGTCCTTTGGAAAACAGTTTCAATTGAATAGGACCTGTTATTCCAGCGATATGAGACATCAAAATTTAACCTTTTTAATGTCCCGTCCCACAAAATGATTTCATCATGACGTCACTGCAATGTTCACACACAAAACGTCCTTGTTAATGTACAAACAAAGTTACGACTTCATTGGAACTCTACTTCCGTAGATATAGGACTTCCAATTATCATCTTTAATTTGACGTCATATGAAAACGTCATCATGATGCCACTAACATTTTAACCTTTTTACAAAACCTATTACAGATCCTATTACAAACAGATCGATAAATTTAGCATTTTTGTTGCAACATACACGTTTATTGGTCAAAACTTCAAATAAAATTGCTCGATCACATCATCTTGACGTCACTTTAAGTTTAATGATAATCTGTTACGCGTCCATGTCTAGGCACATACCAGGTTTCAAGCCAATCGGAGTTGTAGTTCAAATGAAGAAGGGCTTGAAAAAGGTAATTCGAATGTGTAAAAGTGGGATGAAGAAAAAAAGTGTATAAAGTCTATGGAGAAAAATGGTAAAAGAAAACAGAAAAAAAATATCGAAATCCAGACTGCTTAGGCTCGTTGCTGGAACAGCTAATTACTTACTCTGCGCATTGAAATTATTATTATTATTAAATTTGATCTGCTCCAGCTTGACCAATATTGCAATAAACAGTTGAGCAGCGCTGGAAGCGGGTAACGCATGAATCAATGAGAAAGCTTGGCTGATTGTGCAACTTTTCATTGAACAAAATATCCCCTCAAATTGCAACAATAAATCCACGAAATCGTAAACAACCAGAAATCGATGTGAAACGGCGCGGCCAGCGTGCGAACCGAAGCTTTTTCCGGTAATAAACACAGAGCCCCAGCAGCAATCAAGTTGGTCTAGAATATGGAAACCTCCATAAACACTGGAAACAATGGATCTTTAGAAAACGATCCGAAGCGAGTTTCAATACGCACAAGTATTGCAGATATTGCAATTTTTATTTTACCTTTAAGAACTGTTCGTACCAAGGAGCGAACGATTTCTAAGGCTTTGCTATCTAATACACACCATAAAACTGTTCTTCTGTAGATTCCGATTATCACCTTTAATGTGACGTCACATGACTCATGATAACGTCATCATGATGTCATTTACATTTATTACAAAACATATAAGAGAGCCACTTGCAAATCAAAACAAATTGCGAATAAAGCATTTTCGTCTGCACATTGTACGTTTATAGGTCAAAACGTTTAAAGATCATATCAAATCATTCGGCCACATCATCTTGACATTAGTTTAATGCTCATCTATATGTCCTTCTCTCCCTACATACCAAGTTTCAAGTCAATCGGACTAGTACTTCAGAAGATGATGAGCTTAAAAAAAATTGAACCAATCCTACCAATAATATTGGAGCGAACAATTTGTCAGGCTTTATTACTCCAGCATAAGGGCGGATCCAGGGGGCCAACGGTGACCATACCCCCCCCCCCAAAAAAAAAGAACTGTCGCAAAAAAGTGACGTCGCAATAAAGGCAGGCACTGCGTACACCACCATCTTTTCCTTAAAAAAACACGCTTTAAATTTTTTGACCCAATTTTTGAGAGGACCGAACCCCCGCCCCCCCCCCCCCCAAAAATACTGTGTTCTGGATCCGCCCCTGTTGCAGCAGGGACAAATCAAGGAAGTTTTGCGGGGGGGGGGGGTTCAGGACTATCAAATTGTTTTAATGTCCGATTGTTGCGGACAGGCGGACATATAGATAATTATTATTACTATAATTATTTTTAAAAATTGTGTCAGAGCAGTGGGGGGGGGGGGTTTCAACCCACAAAACCCCTCTTTAGATCCGCGCCTGTCCAACTTCTCAATGTCAGGTAATCTATCAATTTACGGGTTCTTAATTCGTACAGCTTAACACTTTTATTACAATTGAATAGACGAAACATTAGTGTCCTTGCTATATTTTTTTATTGAAATAGGGAATTAAATGAGCAAAACAAACATATATGAACCGACAATGTCTTAGAATAACCATCATTCTAAAAGATTGAAACTCATACACTCGAATTGTTGACGAACCCTGCGTAAAGGCCGGTTAACACTCGGCACAAAAGCGGATGCAAGGGTGAAAATGTGACATCACGGCAAGTATTCGTGCTGCGGATTCGAAAAAACTTTAAACTTGTAAATTCACTTGTTAAATTCACTTTGCATTTGCAATCGCTCGAAGAATGAACCGGCCTGCAATGTTGAACTTTGTCCCCGAACACAGTTTTTACATGTTCTTCTCTTTCTCAATTACTAAGGCATAGAAAGCAGAACAACAATCGCGAATTCAGGTGCATTGTTGTTGTAATTTTGACTATGTTAGATTTGTCTAACTAAATTTGTCACTTTAGTGTCGTGACATTTTGTTGAATTCAAATAATGAAATATAATTCCAGATATTTAGTTTGCTTATCAGTACCATGGAATTGCAATCTCCGACTTAACGAATTCGGATTATACAGAGCTAAACAATTTCATAAAATTTAAGTATAACTGAATTTAAACTGTTTTCAAGAAAAAAAAACAAATAAGGAGTAATAAAATAAAATCTGAACCGAAAGGTTTTAAAATACCCCAAAAAGATTGAGACAAACTTTCATACTAAAAAGGTATAATGTACCTCTACGGAAATGAACATTTTACGGTACACAATTTCAAAATTAGTACTTTTTTCTTTTCTTACACACTAAGCACACAACCAATGCGATGTTCAAACGCATTTGTTTTGCGCTAATTTGAACGCGTTAAATAGTCAAATTTGTCATATTTAGTGCCACAATTATCATTATTAGTGCATTGAAAAAAATAATGATATTAAAAGATGAAATTTGATTTGTTAACACTGTCTTTATACGTCACAGGTATTTACATTATATTTATGTGAACAAGGATTCTCTATATACAAATTGTATTGAAATGTATGTCTAGGTCACAACTAAGGTCAACCGAAACTTATAATTTGATTTAAATTTACAGTCAACCTGAATCTGCATCCGTACTGATGGCATCACACTTTGTTTACGTGTGCGCTTTTCTGTGGTTCTACGAAACCGTCATCCAAAGCAATTTCCTATTATAAAAGCACACATGTAAACATAGTGCCACATAATCAGTTAATATAGGCTTATTGTTCAGGTGTATTGGTTGTGCTGCTGTTTTTGTTTGTTTTTCCCCCTGTTTTGTATGTGTTTGTTTGTGTTTCTGTTTGTTGGCTTTTATTGTTACCTACTTTCTACTTTTTTACATCAGCGAGGTTCAACGACAAATGCTAATGAAGCTTAATACATTAAAAATGAAATTGAATTTCAAAACACACGCTATTTTCAAGCCAAAATAGTTTGAAAGAATTCTTGAAAAAAGAGTCATCCACCTGTGCTATGGCATATCATATGGCTTATTTGGACGTAATAACATGTATGCGAAACGGTTTGTTGAATTGATTTCAAACGGTTAACATTTGTTACCCAATAGTTGAGACCCAGAATCAAAATCTTGTGCATATTATTCAGTGGTTACATATTTTACAGTATGTTCATTAGTATGACTGTCACGACCTTATTGAATTATCCTCTTTGAATATCACCAAAAAAGGGTCATAGTTCTATCGCACTCATTTTACCCTAGACCTTATGCCTTCCAGCTACCTCAAATATGTTCTTTGTTGTTTTAATTTAGTAGCACTTATACACAATGGTTTATTCATGCCTGTCCAAGCGGTACCAAACCATTGCCGTCTGGCTCTGCCTTAATGCGTTAGGTCAAATGTATATCGTAATGCAATCTTGCAAAAACGAATGTTCAGAATACCACTGATTCAGCCCAATCGGCGACATCCAAGCAACTCAAATTGCAGACGAACGTGGACATGCCATTCGGTAGGCTCAATGCGCACTACGGTCGCCACCACACTCTCATCAAACATGTTAGTGACCGGGGTGTTGGCATCAGTGTTACCCGTGAACACCTGCAACAGAAACATACGAATACAGGTTTTATCTTTATAACTGTGATAATTTTGGAAGAAGGGAGACACTTTCTTGGAAATTAGTTGGAAACAAATCCTTCATAATGTTACCAGTACCGTACGCACTTCGTTGGAGAGGATCACGAACAAATCGACCACGTCTCGGCGGAAGGTAGCCAGGAATTTGTCTGCGCTCACCCAGCCGCCACAATACAAAACAGAGGCAAGGGGGCTGCATACAACGTGTGGCTGTTCTCAATTAGGCACTATATACATGTACGTGGGTGCTCTTCAAAGCGAACAATTTCAAATTTCGTTTTATTGGTAGTAGTGGATATAAGAGGGTGATGGGTAATTCACTCGTAGCGGTTGACGGGTACGTGGATGCTTTGATTTGATAATACAAAAAGGTGGGCTAAAAAGAAAGACAATTCTGATCAATGTACCTTGTCGTGTCCGTTTGCGTCAGTCACATATGTGGAATCGGATGTGGACTGCTTCCCAAAGGCCACTTTATACTTCTTTACATGTCCAGTGTACTGCCCGATCCTCAGGCTTTTTGTGGTGACACCAGACACCACAGTACTGGTAGCCAGGTCCACCTCGATCCAGGAACCTTCATCGCTGTGTACACAGAGTGGATGGAGGTGGGGAACAATGAAATAAACATGCTCCGCAAAAAACACCCGCTTTTATCAGGAGAGGGATTGACAAAAACTGAACGCGATTAAACTATTGAAGCCTTTTCAAAACTTTTAATCTGAATATGTCAACACTTCTTATATTAATGTTACTAGTGGAGTTCATTTAAGCTTTATCAGTACTATTTTGGCTTTCATCTGAATTTTTTTTTATTATTTCCAATTGAAATCTTTCTAAAAATGCAGAACTTACTCAATTTTGAATGAGTCATTAGACAAATGTATCGGCCTTCTTCTATTATAAGGAATAATTACAAAATAAATATCCAATTAATTGCTGCCCCAAAATAATGAAGTTGTCTCAAGGTAGACTGGTTTCCGCCCCTTCTATCAGATTCGATAGAGTAGGGACCGGGAAATCGCACTTGCAGAGCAACCTTTAAAAAACAGTAATTGAGGGAGTGGCAGACATATTAAATAAACAACAAGTAGTTGATTTCGTTAAATAAACTACTTTGCCGGCTAGGACCAAAATAAAATCAGATTGAATGAAATGTCTTCCGTCTTTGTATAAGGTCTTTATTATGTAACTGTTGGGTGTGGTTTGTGGTAGTTAACGATGGTTTCCTTTGATACCTACCTCCATGGTTTCCATATACTGCCACTGTTCAGCCGTCCCTTCTGGGGTGTGCAACAGCCAGGACGGTAGCTGTTTACAAAAACGCTGGACGCGGTGATGTGATCATCAGGGATTGTCCCGTCCTCCATACCAAGAGGCTGTGGACTCGGACACTCAAGTTTTGCTGCCAAGCGAGAAAATAAACCATATCAATGTTTAAAAATCAAATCGCAACCCCCTTCACATTTTTAAATTTTAGATGGGGGGGGGGGGGGGTGCTGCAAACAGGGACACTTTGTGGTCAGCTAACCCAGATTGACCCGTGCGTGTGTAAATGATATTGTCGTCGGCTGATTCAGGCATTAGTATATGGACACATTCCTAGACTGAAATGAATTCAATTTTAATTAGCAAAGCAGGGGAGAAGATCCTGGGGATCTTTGTGCGCCTTCACTTTTCGGCTGGGGACGGAGACTCTCCAACGGCCGTAGGGTAGTCTTGGCCCAAGACTGGATTTTTTTTGTTTCCCTAGCGCCGGTACCCCTTTTTTGTTTCTGCAGGCTACTGTAGGCATTTACGTTAATACACATGCGTGAAAAACATGCGTGATTTAATAAGCAGTCACGTGATTTGAATTAGATTTTACAGGGGAAGCGTGGCATCACCTTGAACTGATGCGTTAGGTCCATAGCTCTTAGGTTAGGTCGCTTTTTATAATGCTACAGGTTGCGGATTCGAATCCGGGGAATTTAACTTTTTCATATCACCCAAAAATACAATGTCTTTCCTAAATTGTGTTTAAATGAAGTCCAGCTGATCAATGAAATAAATTTTTACCATGTTTTTTTTATTCACACTATGCATTTTTGTTGAGGAAAAAACCCCAAAAGTTGGAAACTGTTGGAAAACGTACGTTTCTCGTACGGGCATGTCGAAAAAGTGAAGGAGGCGGCCGCTTTTTTCGTCTTTTGTTCCCACAAGATGGCGGAATTTCCAAATGGGATTTGGATTTTTCAATTTTAAAAACTCTTCTGCTTTTACAAAATAGTATCCAAAGGCGCTATAACCTTTTTCTACATAGCTGCAATTCTAGTCAGGCGCAGATCCGGGGGGGGGGGGGGTTAAAAAAACCCAGCTCTGTCCAAAATGTATTTTTTTTGCCAGAAATCCATAAAAAAAAGTAATGCCATACCCCCCCCCCCCGCTCTGACACAAATAAAAAACAATTATGATGAACGCCTGTGCACAAAATACGGACCGAGCCTGCTTGGTTACGGGGGTATTTGTACACTATCATGTAATATAGTGTTAATAAGCGCCCCAATTGAAAGTATGGTACGAGCCCCCCCCCCCCCTATTGATTTTACGGAGCCAAGTGTCCTCACAACAAGAAAACTGTCTACATTGCAGCATTGATTTGCTGATGAGCCCCCCCCCCCCGCCTTGCAAAAATTCCTGGATACACCCCTGCTAGTGGAAACAATTTAAAATATATTATGACAACATATTGTGTGCAAAATATATTGCAAATTAATGAATTAAAGACAAACAAACAAACAAAAGGAGGTGACCGGGAAAAGAGAAGCTGACGGGGACGAGAAACTGGTTTATTTTAATAAGCCTAATACCATCGCTCCTATGCCTGATCCGATGGTCTTCACAATCGTAGGTTAACTTACCAGCTGGGGTAGGTTCCCTCGTACCGGCTGTGGTAGGTTCCTCAGTACTGGCTGTGGTAGGTTTCTCCGTACCAGCTGGGGTAGGTTCCCCCATTCCAGCTGTTGTAGGTTCCTCCGTACCAGCTGTGGTAGGTTCCTCCGTACCAGCTGCGGTAGGTTCATCCGTACCAGCTGTGGTAGGTTCCTCCGTACCAGCTGTGGTAGGTTCCCCCGTACCACCTGTGGTCGGTTCTCCTGTACCAGCTGGCGTGGTTGATTTTCCCGCACCAGCTGGGGAAGGTTTCTCCGTACCTGCTGGGGAAGGCTCCCTAGTGCCAGCTGGTGTAGGCTGCCTCTTTCCCGGACAACGCTCCCGTACCTCTTGCATGACTTGCTTCATCCAGTGATCCGGATTATCAGGATCAGGTTCCGGTGGGGGACCGAAGTAACATGTTCTCGCCTCGCTCTCCACAACAACAAAGAGCGCTTTGAGTTAAAAGACAAAATTAAAAGTAACCACTGATTGATATCGTGATATAATTGCTTCAAATATGTTACAATTTATATTAAAAAACAATTCTTCGAATTTATATATAAAATATGGTATTTTTGTTGAAAACCAATAATTGTAGGATTGTTTTATTGTGGACAAGGCTTGGTCTCCCCTGCTTTTGTTTCCTAATCGGAGGAAGCAATTTCATGAATATTTAGCACGGTCGATGAAAAAAAATATATGTTTATTCATCTAAAAGAAAAAAATGACACGAACACCGTTGTTGTTATTTAGTCCGCAACATACTGCGTTAAAGCATTTAAAGTTGTTGTCAAGCTGCCACGGTAGTCGTCTAGTCTATGTAATAGACCCTAGCAAAGCAATGGTCTTTATGTGAGCCGATTTGCTGAATAATCATGCAAGGCAAACGCCTCTTGACCCCTTGATTTTGACCAATCAGCGGGCGCTTTCTATATCGGGTCTGGTCATGGATATTATAAATAAAACCTATAAACCCGTTTTATGAATAGAGCAAAAAAAGACTGCGGCCAATCACGGTCGTGTCTAGGTTTTGCAGATCTATGCACGCCCGGCCGTTGTATTTTAAAACACTGCATGCGAATCGACCAATCACATTTTCAGTCGTGATTTGGGAATGAAATGACGTCACGAACCGGTAACGTTGACTCCGATTGGCTGACGCACGGCGGAGATATGGCTCCGTGGAGAACGGTTGATACTCAGACTATAATAGCCGCCACGGTAGCCCAGAAATGATCCCTGAATCAATTGATCAGTGGTCCGAGTGACCCTCGAACAGTGTCCTTGGCTTGCCGTCTACGATCGACCAATTGTGCGTGGAGTGCGACCATATTAAAATGCCGAATCCAAACTAGGGAAAACGAATGATCTCATGAAAAAAAAGTTATATCTCGGGACAGCTATACCAATTGGCAAAGACAAGCCCACTCTTTGCTCAATTGTTTGTCCGAACGGTATTTTAAATAGGCCTCGGGCGCCGCGCGCTGACTGATCGCTATGTTTGCCTTGCATGTATACAGCGCGAACAGCGACCTCATACGGCCACTAATTATATGCACATGCTTTGGATCTAGACTAACGCATTGGTCGAATCGTCCAAGTGAGGTTTTTGGGGTGGTGCTCATTATACCTATAGCCTAAGCTGACCTTGAAAGTCGTTTCCTTAATGGGCGATCGTTGCGTGGAAACTTGCATAATAGTTAGTGAGCGATGTTGCAAAACATGTACTATATGTAAACACAGTACCAATGCACAGAAAAGTGGTTTCTGACACGTCCGCGAAAGGCGAATAGCTGCAAATAACTTGATAAAGTCGAGATTGACCAAGGTGTGATTGGACACTCCACATATTAGCCCCGCCTACACTTACTTGTATTCGTATATGAGGTCGTGTGCACGAAATCTAGCGTAAAAAAAAAAAAAACTTTTGCCGACGACTGGACCAAGGCGTTCTATCAGATCCAAATGATTTGCATAAATTGTGGCCGCATGAGGTCGTTGTTCGCGCTGTATTTTTAATACACTGCATAGCAAGGAAATGACGCCGACCAAACGGACAGATATAATGACGAACGCCTTGACTAAGGCTATGACTCCATCAAAACTGCTGAATTATTTATGAAATAGCTTCACCCACAGACAGCGAGGCGATTTCGTCATCTGTCGCGCGCTTGGCTGGCGAGTCGCCCACTTCGCCGGCGATTAATATATGTAGATATTACTCGTGAACACACACACACGCAGTCGTTTCATCCTATACTTATTTGGACCTCCTATTGTTTTCTTTTCCTATTGTTTTGTATTGCAAAACCTTCCGAGGACTTGATTCAGGTCCTCATGACATTTGTTTTCACAAGCAATATCGTGCTCAATAAGCTCTGGAAGTGTGAGATTAAGCATACAAATAGCTGATGGTGTAAACAAATAAAACCAAATATATTGTTATGTTTTTCGCCGCCCGTCTTATTTTGGACTAGCGCCCTCTCGTGATTTTCCGGGTCATCGCGACTGAACACTAGTAGATTTCTGAAGTTTCATTTCCGTTGAACTGCTGCCTGGGAATATGCCATTTCCCCACATTTCGAAACAGTTTGTTAAGATAACTATACACCAGAAGAATGAGTACTAATTCTATCTGTAATTATGTTTTAGACTATTATTCGTAATTTGAAGAGTAATAGGTAGTGTGTTTTCCAGGCATGCTTGCCGCCAAAATTCTTCACTGATTGTTTGGTTCTTCAGAGTCATTTCCTGTAAATACTTCATATAAGTGTCCACGCTCAGAATTGTTGTATACTTGGTGGGATGAAAGGACTTTAAGAGCAAGTAACCAAAATCGACTTTTTAAATCGATATTTTTACCCTTGCCGTGGTAACAGGCCTTTATGTGTTTGGGAAATTTTTGGGCAATTCTGGGGCTTCATTTTTTGGTCATTTTCAAAGGTAATCTAGCCAAAATGCGAAGTAATGACACAAAAGTAGATAAATCACGACAAAGTATCATCCGTACCCCTACAAGAAACAAATAGAAACACTTCTGAAAAATTACCTTTACATTATTTTTAGGCCCTACAATACAACATGTCTTTACAACTAGCAAAATTGCATTTTTTACCCCATTTTTAACCCTCCAAAATGCAACTTGCCAGGGCACTTAGTTATTGTATATCCTTTGTGAACGCTGGGGGAACTCACTTAAGAAAACTCAATTAATCTAATGATCGAATAGGGTAAAGACGCGAGGAAATGCAAGAAGTGGGACAGTGACTCAAAATGTAGGTTTCCTCAATAAACAAAAATAAGAAAAATAACTTTATTGATACTAAAGCAATGACCAAAAGCCAAACCAGTGTAACCTTAACCAAGACCAACACACAGTAAAACTATTAAACGAAACCCAGAATTGAAACAATTAAAAACACAGTGCCAAAGAAAGTTACAGATTAAAATCAAATGGCTTTCAAACCTGTTAAATAAAACAACGAAAAATACAATCGATTAAAATACACTTCTTCAATCAAATTTAAGAAACACAAAGTCTTAAACATTGAATCCAAACTAAGTTTATAACAAAAGATACTTCCAAGTCCGATCTTTAAAATACAACTTTAGAAAATGAAATTCCAAAGAAATAAAGGAATAATATGATTGTCAAACTAATCAACTAATGAAACAACTAAATAATAAAACAAAGTTTAAGCTTACCGAGTCCATATAGCAGTAAGGTCTTGAAGCAGGCAAAACTTATAGAGTAAAAATCAAAGCTTGGGAAGGGAGAACAAGTGTGGGTGTTCCCCTTGCGCTCCCAGTCTGCTAACTGAATTACATGTACATTATAGGGGTGACCAACCACACTACCAAGGATTATGTAAGAGGGTTCATTGTTTATTTCACAGGATTCCTAAGAAATTAACTAAGGGGGTGCTGGAAGAGCTTAAAGGGGAAATGTAAACAGTGGAAGGGCAATTAACTCTAACATTAACACAGGGTCTTTCAACCCCTGCCACACATGCAGTAGCGCTCCAAAATGGTAGTTTTCACAAAAACCTTAAAAAGTGTATTTTCGGTTTTCTTTCTTTGTTTTGAGTAAAAACTTACATAATTGGTATCGTTTAAGAGTCTAAGACATTTTCAAAAACAGAATCACACTGTGTGTCATTTTAGACCAGTGGATGAATAGTAGGTCGTGTAGACCCCCTCCCCGCACACACACACCTGGCTAGGCCCCGCTCGCTCCCCCTTTGACACCGAATTTAGATATTGTATGTTGCATAAGGAAATACAATTTAAATAAATAATTTGCAAGTGAACACTTTAGAAATTACATAGACTTAGTTATTACATCCGCCAAGTTATTGGTGTGCCCACCCACCAATAACTTGGCTTTGTCGGTAAATTCATTGTCACATGGGCAAAAATCATGTGTTTGCAAGCCGCAATGAATACTAATAGCCATATCCATTGTCCTCTGATTGAAGTGCATCATTATTCAAATGATGTCCAGTCCTCCCCTCCCAGCTAGACCCCGCCCCTTGCCACAAAATTCAGATTTTGATTTCTATATGTATATGCCAAAATTAAATTGTAAATACTGGATATCAATTTGCAAGTGAACCTTTTACAATCTACACCAACAGCCGTCTCACAGCTAGCCCCTTCCCCTGCCACCACAATCTCAATGATCAGAAGAGAGCCCCGCTCTCTCCGCCAACAAGTCAACAAGTACAGTTCTGGCCTTGGAGAAAGTCTGAATTATGTAAGGTGGCTTATTTACAACACGGGGCAGCTTGGAATATTCGAAAAGCGAGGAGGAGAAGGGGTGTGTATGTCGCGGGGGTTGGTGGGGGTGGGGGAGGTTTGGAAGGGTAATCTGGACAAACGCATGTATATATATTTTTTTATATTGCAAGTTACTTTTGGAATGAGTAAAGGTGTGGTGAACAAAATGTTGTTTTTTTATATTATTTTCAAAACAGAATTGCCAATTTAGAGAGCAACTAACTCTTATTTGTTTATATTGAAATACATGTACTTTAAAACAAGGATCACTCCAATGAAAACTCCCAGAGAAAACAGCATCAATTTGATTGAGTGAATTTCACTCTGACTTGACTTGGCTGTATACATGAAGTTAGGGTCTGAAGTATGTTTTAAGTGGAAGTGTCCTCAAAATTTGTATTTGCCTGAAGTCAAAAATACTTCCATTTTCAAAACCTCTAACGACAACACTATCTTAAACTGAAATTGATGGCTATATAATAAACAACAATACCTGCTCATCTCAGTCTGTAATGTGGCAGACATTGGTGCGAGAAGCCCATGTAATTTTCAGCTTTCAATCTGTGCCATTTTCTGTACTTTGCTGATAGTTATTACATCAATCACTTGCAGAGCATTAAACAACATCATCGAAATTTACTTCAGTTTTGCCAATTCGGGTTAAAAACTCACAAAATTTGGGAATAAAATCAATAAGTATATATAGTCCCTATGGCAGTGACAATGGATGCATACAATTACATATGCATACCAATAATCTTTGTTCCTAATATAGAACCATTTACCCATGCAATAACCATTAGAACCATTTACCCATGCATACACAATTACATATGCATACCAAGGGCGGATCCAGAACACAATTTTGGGGGGGGCCAAAAAAAAATTTGGTCCCCCCCAAAAAAAGTGGGTATAAAAAATTACGGCGTGGGGTCCGGGGCCCCGAAAATTTGTTGGATTCTAGATGCTCTGTGGTGCGATCTGAGGCAATTTCTGACCACTTTAACCAATTTTTTTGAGGAAAAGATGGTGGTGTACTCATTGCCTGCCTTTATTGCGATGTCACATTAAAAAAAAAAAAAATGGTTTCGTTTTGGGGGGGGCCATGGCCCCCTTTGGCCCCCCCCCTGGATCCGCCCTTGATGCATACCAATAATCTTTGTTCCTAATATAGAACCATTTACCCATAAAATACAGAACCCAAAATGTTATCTAGACAAGAGTTTTGAAAATATATTTTAAAAACCTCTAGTGGTAGCAGCAATATAACCAAGAATGTCATATTATAGAGTAGTGGTAAACCAATATTTTTTTAAATTCCTTGCCATGCAACAATGGATGTACCACAAAATGTGGCCATATTGACTTCTAATGCAATTGCAATTGCGATTTTGGAGGGCATAGCAGAACCCACAACGGTACTATATTCAATTTTATTTGTACTCAATCTGACCATAACTAGCCAAGACAATTGAATGTGAAAAAATACAGCATTATGTACATGTACCATGTACCCATATTACACCCCCGCGCTTTCCAGATATTCCAAACCACTCCCACGTTGACAAAAAATAGCCACACCTACATAGTGCATATAAACATGGGATTTCCGCAAGGCAATATGTATCCTAAACAATAATACATGCTGAATTATTTGGGAGGGGAAGGGGTCGTTGCTCATAATGAGCACTGGAGTAGAAAGAGGGGTGGCGGGGGCGTGGGCTGTGGGACGGGTACGGCCGTTGGTGTAAATTATGAAAGGTTCACTTGCAAATTGATATCTATTTACAATTTAAATGTAGGCAATTACAAGTAGCAATCAAAATCTGAATTTGGTGGCAAGGGAAGGGGCGGGGCCTAGCTGGGAGGGGAGGACTAGACATCATTATTTTAACTAATGGAAACACTTCAATCAGAGGACAATGGAGTGGCCATTATTATTCATTGCGGCTTGCCAACACATGATTTTTGCTCATGTGGCAATGATTTTACCGACAAAGCCAAGTTATCACCCTCAACCCCAAGCAATGCCCCCAGAGTGAGGGAAGGGGAGGCTGTTAAAAGGAAGTTTATGATTTTTCTAAAGTGTTCACTTGCATATTATTCGTTTACATTTGTATCGTTATGCAACGTACAGATTTTAAATTCGGTGGCAAAGGGGAAGTGGCCGGGCCTAACCAGGTGTGTGTTGGGGGGGGGGGGACTGCACGACTTACTATTCATCCACTGGTTTACAAATGATACACAATGTGATAATGTTTGTTAAAATGTGCTTGATTCATGAACAATACAAATTATACAAGTTATTTCTCAAAGCAAAATGAAAAAAAACCTTAAAATACACTTTTAAAGGTTTTTGTGAAAATTACCAATTTTGGAGCGCTACTGCACAAATGATATACAATAACCCAAAATGTTCTAACCAGATATGAAAAGACCAATGTCTGAACTAACCATAGCCGAAGGGAAATTATTCTGAGTGCCCTGACAAGTTGCATTTTGGAGGGTTATAAATGGGGTAAAAAAATGCAATTTTGCTAGTTTAAAAACATGCTGTATTATAGGCCCTAAACATATTTTTTTTCTTGTAAGGGTAAGGATGATACTGTGTCGTGATATAGTTACTTTTGGGACATTACTGCGCAGTTTAAAAATAAAACAAACAAAAAATGAATTTTTGTAGCCTCAAACTTGCCCAAAAATGGGGACAAACAAGTTTAACAATTCTAATTTGGTTAATTGCTCCCCAAGTCCTTTCATCCCACAAAGTGAGCGTGGACACTTAAATGAATTATTTGTCTTTGAAAATCGATGTCTGAAGGCTACATGTCATGGCCATAATGTTCGGAATCTTTTATTTTTAAGAAAAAAATGCGTAATTGGCTATTTAATGTTTGTATAACTACGCTAAGCTTGTGATATTGTGAGCTAAAAATTAGCCTTTTGTATTTTCGACATCATGAATATTCATGAATGTGCTACCTTATTTTAGCATCGCATAGTTAATAACGGGAAGTCTACTATCGCTGCAAGTAAGGAGTACATTGAGGAATGTATGCATTGTTGTTTGTTTTTAGGTCGCTGAATTGCCAATTCTAGACGGGAAAAGCAGTGTTACCGGGTTGAGGACATCTGGGAAATATCGAAAAACACAAACATCCTTTTCCAGACTCACCAAAGTGCCGTTATAGGATTATATGTTTTTCGAGTTCTCAAAATAAAATTCTTAACAGATAAAACTTCCACCTACCTGCCAGTGTTGATACCATCAGAAACCAAGCTACTGCTCCGTCCATTGTCACAGATGCAATGACTGAGAATCCGTCAGGTTGATGGTATATCACCGTGCACACAAACCACAACAGCTCGCCTCGGCAGCTTCGCAGACCGTAGAACAGGATGACGTCATAACCAGCTAACCAATCAGGAAAGAGCACGAACTAGTTCAATCACATTCTTGTCTCTCATTGGTACACGTTAACAAAATGGGCGGGGTTTAAGTGGGAGCTGGTAATATTGCAATCCATTGCTTTATTCGACAGTTTTATTGATCAATTTCGAACACCGGAGTACCTGTGTGAGATATTAATGTGAATGCGACATGTTGACGACGCAATATAGTATTAGAGTGGCCATTACACCCTTTGTGACACTCACAGTGCGTGTTTCAATAGCCTAGATTTTCTTCCACGACTTTTTTTCGGGATTTTAGGTGAAATTCGGAAAGTTTCCTTGATTAGACATTTGAATAAAATACAAGTGTATCGAGGAGAAGGTTGAGTGGGTTTAAATTGTAAAATCACCTATATAACGACAAGTACCAACAGTGGGCAATTCTTGCCAGCATGCGGGGAACCAACGGCTTAGAAAAGGGGGTGGGAGAAGACGACACCTTACTAAAGTGGCGCTGTTCATACTTGCATGTCTGCATGTACACGTTTTACGTCTTTTCCTCACATTGTTGAATCAACGGACAATGGGTGTTAAAAGAGCGACACCTTTCGCCGGTAATACTGGGAGGGAATAATATTGTGAAGATACTTTTAATTTTGTTACAATAATATGCTCTGGGACCAAGTATTGAGAGGGATTGGGGGAGTCACCGCGTTCTCGTCCCTCACCAAAATATTGCTGGGGAATGGGAAGCCAGGAATTTCAGAAATTACCGGCAGTATAAATACCGAGAAAGGGAGGGGATGGTTTGGGGAAGGGTGAGATATATTTAATAGATAATATTGTTTGCGACCATCTTGTGTTTTCATTATCATATTTAGCCTGCTACTCTCGCGACGCTCATCCTTACGAGTGACTAGTATCTGGATAAATAAGAAAAGTACGAAGAAAAACAGCTTCAAAAACAAAAACAAAAACACTGGGGAAAAAAGAACATCCCAACCCCCGCAAAAAAATAACCGCCGCGTGGGTGGATCATGTGCTATAATATATATGTCGTGTTAACTCTGATGACATGTAACATTAATAATTCGGTATTTACAGGGAAACACACAAAGGAACTGAGCCATTTACTACCTGTTTTGTGCCTTGTGTCTGTTAATCGGTTTTTTTAATGGGAAGGAATGATTTTTGCGCCATATTCATCTCTCCGTAACTGTGTAATTCACTGAAGCGCAGTGCTGAGAGGATTAAATGTTTGAAGAGCTTTTCTCTGTTTTATCTTTTTATTATTATTATTCGTTCACGCTGGCAGAGAACGCCTAGCCCTTGTCGCATCTCTTAAGTATAGTACATGGAGTTATACTAAAGTATCTGCAGGTTCATGCCAATACACTCGTCTGCATGTCGGTCATATAATACGCATTGACCAATAAGGTCCCGAGTGGCTACTAGCCATATACGCAACGGTCCAGTCTCGGCCATGTTACCGATAACTTCAGTCAAAGTTAAGGTTGACGATGACTTAGGATGGATAATCTCCTTTTTCTGTATTCCATTGTTTATTCAAGCAATTATTTTTAAATTAGTTCAATAAAAGGTTTTGCCCTTCACCGATGTATAAAACGCTGTATACTCAGTGTGTTACATCCCTAGTGAACGTGAGACAAATCACTCCTAATGCGAACAACTCATGATCTCTGCTCCCGATCGTCCCCCCGTGCTTTATATACAGGCATGGGTGTCTCAATAACATTTTCTGGAGGGAGGGGGAGGGCTGAGAACACTCAAGTACAACGATAAACCTCCAACAGTAAAAAAAAAAAAATATCGAGGAGGGCAGGGATGGGGGATGACGTTGGGGGTTGAGGTGTCCATGGGGTAATTGTAATTTTTTGCTTAGGCTCCGTGTTCAAAATCTACTTGAGGATTTTCATGCGACCGCGTTTTAAGCCTCTTTTCAACAGTTTGAATTGCTAAACATGTATTTAATTGATAAGATGATATTGTTTTCGACAATGTTCTTTTGATGATATTACTCTTTCCTGTATTTTGTTAATCCCCTCTTTCTCCCCCTCTGGCGACGCCCACACCAATGAGTATTTGGTTCATAGGAGGAGAAAGAAGAACCCCCCCGCCCCAAAAAAAAGGGTCGGTGGTGAACCATGCATGATAATATCTACGTCGTTTTATCTCGTATGTATCATTAATTATACGGTATTTGTTGGAATTCACACAAAGAAACCGAACCATTAACTACCCGTTGTCTGCCTCGTGTCTTTTTTAAATGGATAGAAATGGAGTTTATCATTCCGCAATGGTGCAGTGCCGAGAGAAATGCATAATTGAAGTGCTTCTCGTTTCCCAACTTTTTTGTTATTCGTTCACGTTGGAAGAGTACGCATAACCCTTGTCGCATCTCTTAAGTACAGAACACGGAGTTATAAACATAACCATCTGCATGTTCATGTGAGTAAAGTTGTCTTCCATGTCGATCATTTAATACGCTTTGACCAATTAGATCACAGATTTTGGTCAGGTGACCACTGGAGCTAGTTCTAAACTCGCTGGCAACCAATGAGAGAACTATATACAAATCATACGTGGGCGGGGCTATACGTGGGCGGGGCTAAATACAAAATGGTCCAGTGCCGGCCATGTTACTGGTAACATTCAGTTAACGTCAAATTAAATTGAAGATTACTTAAGATGCATATTATTCTGTTTCTGTATTACATTGTTCATTCTAGCACTTATTTTACCTAGAGAACGGCGCTCGACGTCGTTATTTTTTGTGCCAAGCAAAATTGGTAGTCGGGGAGTGACCCCATGTGCAGCCGCGTTTCGAAGTTTTGAGTTTCGCGATCAATATAGTTTGAATTTGACTGGTGTTGCGTACCAAACACATACCTCAGTGACATTTTGTTTTTTGAGAACGAGGAATTTTTTTTACAGTCAAAAGCACCAAATTAAAAAGACTCCTAACATGGAGAGTAGACATTCGAAGTTGAGTGAGCCCACTTTTCGGATTTAATTGAAACCTCCGCACTTCTGCAATATAAGACAGACAATAAACGGGATATTGAAAGCAAACTCTTCAAATTGAGAGTTGTTCTACCGTCGCACACCTTTTTTTTTTGTTAACGCTTGAACAGTGTATGTTTTACATGTAGAAACTAAAAGTCGTTTTCCCCTGATGCAGGCCAAGCGTAAAATGCTACCATTATGATTTATAATTCAGTAACAGCGGAGAAAGACACAAAAGAGCACAACCATTAACTGCCTGCCACCTGCTTCATCGTTTTGACAAAATTGCCAAATTAATTTCCCAAGCATGACTAGAAATGAATTCAGTTTTTATCTATATATCAATTTTTCATAGCGTCCTCCATCCGCTGTTGCCAACGTATAAAACGCTGTATACTCAGTGTGTTACATCCCTAGTGAAAGTGAGACAAATCACTCCTAATGCAGACAAGTCATGATCTCTGCTCTTGATTGTCCCCCGTGCTTACAGGCATGGGTGTCTCCATCAAATATTCTGGAAGGAGGGGGAGGGCTGAGCACACTCAAGTACCACGATAAACCTCCAGCAGTAAAAATATCGAGGAGGGCAGGGATGGGGGATGATGTTGGGGGTTACATCCCCCAACAAAAGTCGTTTTCCCCTGATGCAGGCCAAGCGTAGAATGCTACCATTATGATATATAATTCAGTGACAGCGGGGAAAGACACAAAAGAGCACAACCATTAACTGCCTGCCACCTGCTTCATCGTTTCGACAAAATTGCCAAATTAATTTCCCAAGCATGACTAGAAATGAATTCAGTGTTTATCTATATATCAATTTTTCATAGCGTCCTCCATCCACAGAAGCGCTGTTGCCGATACAAAGGATGGTTGAGCCCACGCAATGCGCGTAATACTCGTCGTTGTGTCTCCGTGTATAGTACATACCAGGGAGAATTCAGAAGCAATATTTCGGGGGCCAAGAAAACTGATGCACGTTCAAGATTTTTCGTTGTACTCACAAAATGCGAAGGTGGTTGGTTTTGGGGGGAGGGGAGAAGGACAAGGGGAGGGAGGTTCGAATTCATTTAAACTTTGACGCCCGTTTAGTTTCTGTCTAAGTCCTATTAATTCGTGTTTTCATGTCAGAGGCAGAATTCTTTGAATACCTGCAGTGGCCCAACAATTAAATGTTAAGTAAAGGATAATGCCCGAGGAATTTGCGAAACCGCAATTCGCAGCTGTCTCCACAGACAAGGATGGTGGGAAGTTTCTACGCTATGCTGAAGATGTCTCCAAGGCAAATCAGGGCGGGCTTAAACATCGCAAAATTAATCCCAAAGTTGTGGACGCTCACGAAAACAAAGCCCATCCGTCCCGCTGCATTGTGAGACTGTATGAAAATTACCTACAGTATTGTCCAGCCCAACGAGCAACAGGCGCCTTCTACCTTAGACCTCCAGGGGCGGATCTGGCAATTTTTGCAAGGGGGGGGGTTCATCAGCAAAAAAAATGTGAAATGTAGACAGGTTTTCTTCTCCGGACACTTGGCCTCTGTAAAATCAAAAACTGGGGGCGATCGAGGGGGTGGGTGGCAGGCGCGGTTCTAGAACCAATATTGTTTGGGGGCTAGCACGATGGATCAGTGACAGCGGGGAAAGACACAAAAGAGCACAACCATTAACTGCCTGCCACCTGCCTCGTCGTTTCCACTAAATTGCCAAATTAATTTCCCAAGCATGACTAGAAATGAATTCAGTGTTTATCTATATATCAATTTTTCATAGCGTCTTCCATCCAGAGAAGCGCTGTTGCCAACGTATAAAACGCTGTATACTCAGTGTGTTACATCCCTAGTGAAAGTGAGACAAATCACTCCTAATGCAGACAAGTCATGATCTCTGCTCTCGATTGTCCCCCGTGCTTACAGGCATGGGTGTCTCCATCACATATTCTGGAGGAAGGGGGAGGGCTGAGCACACTCGAATATCACGATAAACCTCCAGCAGTAAAACATATCGAGGAGGACAGGGATGGGGGATGACGTTGGGGGTTACATCCCCCAACAAAAGTCGTTTTCCCCTGATGCAGGCCAAGCATAGAATGCTACCATTATGATTTATAATTCAGTGACAGCGGGGAAAGACACAAAAGAGGGCACAACCATTAACTGCCTGCCTCCTGCTTTATCGTTTCGACAAAATTGCCAAATTAATTTCCCAAGCATGACTAGAAATGAATTCAGTTTGTATCTATATATCAATTTTTCATAGCGTCCTCCATCCACAAAAGCGCTGTTGCCGATACAAAGGATGGTTGAGCCCACGCAATGCGCGTAATACTCGTCGTTGTGTCTCCGTGTATCTATATATATAAGAGAGAGTTTAACTCGGCCTCCGAGACGATGTTTGCTCATGAAAGGATCCGAGACCGCGGGCTCCCGCGGCGCCAAAATCGCTCCACGTCCGTGGACAAATGCGGAGGGTGTCTTCCGCCGGGTCGGACACTTCGGGTCGTCCTGATTTTCCCTTACGGACCGGCGATCCGTTTAGTCGATTTTTCGTGACTGCGTTTTGCTCAGGAATTTGCCGTCGTGTGCGCTTTCACGTTGACTGCCTGGCCGCCCCCTGTGCTGGCTTTTTCTGCGTGTCTAGACTGTGGGAGGTCAGCGAGGTCAACGTAGGGGTTGCGTTTACGTGTTCTACTCGGCTGTTTTGCAAAAGAATTCGCCAAACGTTAGTATGGGTGACCTTGGTTAAATATTTTTTGTCCATGGTGCGTGGCCACCAAGTGTCCCTATTCTTTCATATGCTTCGCTTGCCGCCCCTGTGCCAAGTGCAACGAATACTCAGAAGGACTACACATTAATATGCCTAGCGCGGTCTGACCAATCGAAAGTCTACACTGCGTGGTA